TCCTTCTCTTTCTACTAGACGGACACTTTTAGAGCCGCCTCCCCACTCTATTCTTATACCTCTATGGTTCTGCCGCACCCAGCGCTCCTATGGGAAAGCCCCCCCTTTCAGGCTGGATTTGAACATGTTCCTTCTGCTATTCAGGCGGTTGCACTTACCGCTATGCTAGCTAGACCTTAATGGTCATGTTGGATTTCTTATAGTATTTTTAAGGCTGCAAATCAGTGTCTTCTCTCTTATCGTAGATAAACCACAATTTGAAACGAATACTGATACAAGTATGATACTTGAACTGTTCATATACTATCAAACATATTTAGAATGCAGCACATATTATTCGATTTATTATTATAATTATCCCAACGAAACTACTTTTTAATTTATGTATCATATGTGCAATCGGAAAGAGCGATTGCTAGTAATAATTCGGCTCACGATACAGTACTACCTTTCATATCGATACCACAGATCTCGGAGTAAACTCCGAGCCACAGATCGATGCTTTCAGCACCCCTAGATCCATACGGGCAAACCGAACGTGTGCGCAGGTATAAAGGAAATGTATGGAGAGCGCGCCTTCAGATACCTGACACACCGCCCGTCCTTTCTGGCTGAACCGAAGATTTTTAACCTTATGGACCTAAGCACGATTAGGTCCGCTATAAAAAATCCCCTGCTTATGTTGTTACATTATGGATTCTTTCCAATATTTTGGGGAAAACTTTATATTTCGGGAATAGGTGCGGAAACTTACATGTTTACTAGCTGTCCCAGCGAACTTCGTACCACCATAAAAATAGGGGCTGGTCGACGAAGGGTGAAAAAGGGTTGTATGTATCATAAAAAAATAAAACCAAAAATTTGTCGAAAAATAAAAATTATTGTTCGATCACTCTTAACATTTAGGAGGATGATAAATAAATGTCCGATTCTCAGACCTACTGAATATGCATATTAAATTTCACGAAAATCGGTCGAGCCGTTTCGGAACTGAACTATCAATTACGTACACCGTGACACGAGAATTTTATATATTAGATTTTTAATGATTGTCTATGTACCCGAAAGTTTCTTTAGGTCAGTGAATGTTTCGCACAAAATTATCTTTACACTTATCTATGAAATAATGTGCTATGGAAGATGAGATTTAACAGAAGTGTTCCATTTACATTTCTCGGTCTTTCAATTACCTCCGAAAACTACAAAAAAATATTGTATCGTCGAACATCAAAGTTTTAATATGAAAACGGAATAATAGTATCTCAGACTTGGCTGCATTAGCCGGATTCCTCTGACTTCCAATTAACAATAATATAAATCTGGGGAAATCTGAGAATTTACATCTGGCAGCCCTATCGCCTTCAGGTAGCCTGATTTGATATCATATACGTATCCGGGAACCCGATGGGAAACCTAATACACCTGTTTATTATACTACACTATGACAATGTTTATTGACATATTGGCATATTTTATTGGCTATAATTTTTTTGCCATTTTTATTAATTTTAATTATTGACAAATTTAATTTTATAAATGAATTTCCATAATAATTACAAAATTAAACTGCTACTGTAAATAAGATCAATTGAGTAAGTTATATTATAAAATTAGATGAAATTTATGCATGATTTGAAAAATTAGGTTGTTTGATACAAATTAGGTTATAATTTTTATTATTTTTAAAGCATGTAACTGCTTGATGTTTAAATCTAAAGAGCCTTGCAGCTTAAGAATAGCTAGAGGGAATTTCGACGCGGTCCGTGAGGGCCGCGGTAGCATAATTGGTCAGTGCATTCGCCCGGATTGCGAAGGGTGCGGGTTCGAGTCCCGTCTGCTGCCTGGTCCGCGTGGAATTTTTTCTAGTTATATTTTCTTTAGATTTAAACAAATTAGGTTCTTCATATAGATTTTTTTTTAAATTGATAGTTTTATATTTATGTGAATCTATAATATTCTATACACATAATATTGAATATAGCTTTGATAGTTTTGTTTTATACATTTTGAAAAAATCAAAACAGAGTTTCAAGTTAACAAGTGACCGGTTTATTTGCCGTCCAGTTGGTACTAGCTAACAACTTATCATTATCAATAATACATACCTAAATAAATGGTAAATAGTTAGATAATTAATAGATAATTGTTTATTAATTAATTTCTCTTTCGTAATCTTTATCTCTATAAGACACTACTATATTGCGAAACCCTGACATGAGGGTTCATGTGAGGTACTTTATGCATTTTGTAACTTGTAACCATCTATGTATCCACATGAGAGCAATAAAAAATAAATTTAATTGAGTATGTGCGCCCAGCTTTAATAATCTGTGACGGCGCGTGCCGTGATTACCTTCTCTGATGATAGCTGTGAAGAACTTACACATTGGTGAAGAGTTATTTATTATAATAGAATAAGAAACAAACGTCGTCAAACCGCCATCATAGCTTCATGATCATAGCGTGACAGTGCCTGACGTTACTATTGTACAGATTAGATCTCTTCATCAGCTCCCTCGGGAGCAGATGTTTTTATGAAAACAAATTAACTTTTCATATTGCTTTTTATGTCACTTTTATCAAATACTATAGAACCAGAGTCACCATCACCAGGATCAACCAGGATCACACCTTTACTCGGACAGTCGTAGGAGTGAACATAATTTACACCGATTGGTGTCGATTCTGGCGTGATTGTCTAAACTTAAAACTAAATTTAACATCAGTATCTCCTTTTTATTCTGTATAGAGAATGAAAAGGATGCACTGTTGTCAAATTTAAGTTAAGCTTTAGAGAATCATGCCAGAATCGACATCATTGTCAAACTTATGTCAAATACTATAGAACCAGAGCGAGAGAGAACTCGGAGTTTCTATAGTATTTCTTATTATTACCAAAACGGCCATCATATCATAACGGGCCTCGTATGTTTTATTTTCTTTTCAGTCATGGATTTATTAAATAAATCAGTTAAAATAGTAAGTTCCAGTGAATGTAATAGAATTCTAAAAGGAGGTACAGCTTTTTGTTTTTATAATATAATAGTAATTTCAAAAATATTTATTTACATTTCATTGAGGCTGTATGTAAATGTTGCTTATGCTAATAAGCATAGACTTCCATTAAGAAAGATAAAATATTGGCTATTGATGTATTTTTTAATGTAGCAGCACTGCAATGAAATCGATTTTAAATCGATTTCACAATTCAAAAAGTATAATAATTATATTATTATCTATAAGTCCGTTCCGATCTGTCCATTGTCTCAATCTTTTATGAGTGCACGTCAGATATCACCCGTTATTTAGCGCACTATGCGCTACTGTATAAGGCAATTCTGTGCCGACACATGTTCCCTTGTTAGGAGACGATCTTTTCTGATGAAGGCTTAGAGGCCCTTTTGGCAGAGATGCAGGGGCGTCTTCCTCCTAGTATGTGTTTCATATCACCATTACGTTTTTCCACGGTTCCTATTCCTTTTAGTTCCTACCAGCTGCCTGCCGTGAGCAGCGTTAGTCTTTGCTACAGACTCTCTTGTTGCTGATCTACACCTGCCTCTGTCTTTCCAGTTACACTCTGACGAATTTTATGATATATTACTTTTAAGAAAGTTGCAATATTTTTTTTTTTTTTTTTTTATTGTTTCGTTTATCTAGCGTTTGTTGCGTTTTAGCCTTCTGTTGAGTATGAGTAAATCAAAGAGGACAGTTTCCCTACCAGCATCTGTGTTGCAATCATAGAGAGAGACAAAGTGAGGAAAAGAGATATTAGGCCCTTACGACAATCCTGCATGGTATAGACGCAACATGATGTACCTTTGGTAAATATTGTAAGAGCCAACATCGTCTAGTCAAGCCGATATGTGATAAAGTTTATTAGAAAATTCTGTGAAACTTAGACAAATTGTTCTTAATCAATTTAGTTTGTGTTATGGTATCCTGTGTTTTGTGCATATTATCTTAAAACAACAATATTATCACTCACAAATTCACAAACAAACACCGATACGTACACATGCAGAATTATTTTTTGGAACACTTGCGATAGGCACTCTATCTATCTTTACATCCTTTTTCCATTCTCCGGGAAAAAACTGAAAGTATATTTTCAGTTTTTCCCCTAAGGGCGCGAACTTGTAACGGGTGTGGTGTCATTTGCGGCTGAATTCTCTAAACCTAAATTTAAGTTTGGATAACATTTTATCCTTGCCATTACCTGTACAAACGAAAAAGAGATACTGATATTAAATTTAGATTTAAGTTTTGAGAAACTTGCCTGATTCAACGTAGTTGTAGATTTTCAATTAACTTATATTGCTTATTAAAATGTATTTAAATATATATATATTACTAATTATATACACATCAATCAAATAAACTTGTTACAGAAATGTTTTCTCTGCAGCCCAATTCTATCATCTTGCTGCTCAAATAATTATTATGCAGTGTGATGGTTTTTTTTCAGATACATAACAAGACAAACTGCTTGCTTATGTTAAAATTACTGACCATTATCGTGATTGGTTACAGAACAAAGATTGTAGCCAATTTTTTATTACTGCTAACAACAAAATCTTTGTATGCTGGCTAAATAATTTTAAGGATGCTTATTTTTGCTAGCCAAATTTTAAATGGCATACAAATTAAAGACTACTCATATATAAATAGCAACTGAGAATCACTTTTACAGAGTAAAGTTGCAAGTTTTCATTTAATTGATTTCAATCGATTTATGAGTGTTGCTAGTAGCTTTTGAAGTTGAAAATTACATCACCATTTCATGGCACGCACTCTCATTTTGACGGCGTTTGTTAATTTTTCGACTTTTCGTGACAGCACGTCATTTTCGACATTTGATTGATAATTTTCTAAAGATCTATCAAATTAGTTTGTTTGAAAGTTAGTTTAGGCGCTAAAAGGTAGTATTTTAATAATTACAAGTTTTGGGAAGGATGTGAGGCGTCGGAATCCATTTTTGGTGTTCGGGTTATCTGCCCATAATGTGTGCATTAAAGTGCGTTGTTGAGGGCTGCAACTTGGAATATGATGTAGTTTGCAGCTTCTCGTTCTACAAGTGAGTTGTTTACATTCTTAATTTTGTTATTCCTCACGTCTAGTTACCAATTTTCATCACAGGGCGTGATGGTATGTGACCTCGAAATCTTTGGTTTTACGTAAATTTAGTTTTTAGCTATGATACGCTGCTATGTTATTACTTCTTATCAGGCGCTTATTAGGTATCAGTCCGTTTTAGAAACTCATTTAATAGACACGTTACTGCTACTAGTAAACTGGAAATGATAGTTAGCTGGCATAAATAATTAATTATATCTATTAATTGGCTTGTCTTTACGTAACTAGCATGTTTGGCGGCAAAATCAATTTCCAATTTTAGTTTTAAATTTCCACAAAGTTCTAATGAACTTCATTATGAAGTTTCTGTATTCAAATGTGTTATTTTGTACCAAATTGACCTTTATGCAGTTGTGTTAAGTTCTAAAGGCGATAGTTCCTATAATAAGCACTTAGTCTGTGCACAATCACTTTGGACAAGCTAACCATTGTTATCAATATTGTCTGTCGGCAAACAAATATTTTGTTTTGTTATTCTCAATGTAACGTCAAACGAATAATAGACCGAAATCAACCAATAAATGTATAAATAAGCTCTTGGGAAAGTGCCACCTAGACAAACTTAAATTGAAATAAACAAACTTAAATTGAAATTTTATTTTAAAGTTTTTGTTTTTCAATTATCAAATTTGTTGGTCAACTTAAAGTTGGATATTAATCATGCCATATATACGTATTTATTATGTTGCTGAACTTAAAGTTTCTTATCTTGAAGATTTATCTTAACCAATATTTATAGATTCACCTACTACTCATTAATAAACACAACTTGAAAATACTACTGTTCATGTTATAATATTATAGAAGTTATAATAACAGGAAGTTATCATTAAGTTGATATGAGTAAATTGTACATAACAAATACTTGGTGTCACCCAGTATGGTAGAGCTGTAAAGGTTTTTTACAACTAGATGCCAAACAGAATAGAATAAATGACACATTGTACACACCAATTATACACGTTAAATTCAGTAATATTGTGCTGTATGGAAATTTCTTCTAAATAATCATAGGATGGAAAGATAAAGTTTTATCAAGATAGAGGGTATATAAATAGCTGGTCACGTTATTAAATAAAATAAAATAAAACTTTCAAATTATATATATTTCATTGCTGTCGAAAATCGACTACCACTTTTGAACTGTCCACCATGGTTAACTTCCACAATCGCATAATGAGTGAACGTACCACTGCATCATGAAACTCCTTAAAGTTATAATCTGTTACATTTCCTATTTGTCTTTCCCTTAATAAATGCTATTTGTTCCCTCCTCACAGTGCCAACATATCTTCGGAAAATGAAACCAAACGACAAGAGTGGATCGAGGGTGCTATGCATGAGGAGAGCGAATGCCTCTGGCGGCACGTCAGCTTGCAGCTCTGTGGGTGAGAAATAATACAACATACTTATATTTTTAGATTTTTTAAGCACTTAGCTGCTAGATGTTTAAATCTAAAGAAAATTTTAGTAGAAAATTTCCATGCAGACCAGGCAGCAGACTGGACTTGAACCCAAAGCTTCCGCTATCTGTGCGACGGCGCTGACCATTATATATTTAATACAACATAGATTAAATTACAGAAGAAGCAATAGGGTATTTGACAGTATTAAAAATAAAGTGCCAAATGTTACCATCTGTGTTTAGAATGAATATTGGCAGGGGTTTTCACTATTTTTACAGAAAACATATTCATAATTTTACTAAAAACCCATGAAAAAGATAATAGTTTTCTTATCTATTGTCACGTGACTCAAAACGTTTGGGATCAGCGGAGCCTAAAATGACGTCACACGCAAGTAAACTTCCAGTTAAAGTAACGTTACATTGTATCGTTTTACGTTTGAATAACAGTCGTGTGACGTCACACACTAATTATACGCCATATTGTCCAGAGAAACATTTTCGCGGCAACTTGAAAATGGAGTTTTTGATTCGGTTATTCTTACTGAAATACACAACAGAATGATGAATATCTATTTTTTACGGACTCCATAAACATTTGTCAATAACGTGAGATTGTTTTCTAAAACTTGTCAAATACCCTATTATACAGGCCGGCAAGGTGAGGATGGCTAGTGTGGCAGGTAGAATTGATGTACCAGCTATCTTTGTCTCTGAACTCCACTGTCACTTATCCCGTGAAGAAGAATCATCTGTCGGACCTATTTATAAAAAAAAAACTTACATTCACACCTATTGCTAACCCAGTAAGGCAGGCACCTTAATGTAAAATCAGCTTAAGCTCCTATTCGTTAATTCTATTAACCTTAGTACAGGATATCATTGTTGTGAGAGTGTCCAACATTTATTAATTTTCTCATCCATGTAGGTACCATTTTGAACTGGACAACCAGGGATTATGGATTGACTCCCCGATGTTGCCAGAACTCCTGACCGCTCAGGAGGCGGCAGCGGCTCCGACCCGTACACCCAGCGAGGCAGATAAGAAAGGTAACAGCCATAATATTAATTGAAATATCCTCAAGTCTAATGTTTAAAAATTAAGCCAATATTTTTAAAAATGTCCTACATGTACAGAAGGTACAATCTCACGTTTGTAGGGAAGGTACAATCTTGTATCTACTTACTTTAATATAAGCTTTCTGTAATCTTAAAGAAATGTGGTTGGAACATTCTTGTTCAGCTTATTTGTTCATATTGCATTCACATGGATGCAGGATTTTTTTTGTATTGAATCACTATCAAAATTCCAATCGGACATGGGTACGAGAACTGCACACCCTTCTTGTAAAAAGTGTAAGCACTCCTGATTTGTCTTAAAGTTAGTATCTTAGAAACTGGTTTCACTGGCAGCGCCATCTTGCGGTGAATTCATAGGATTTTGAAAGGCCTTTAACCAATCTATAAATACAGGGTTAATTTTTAAACACCAACAACCTCTTAGGGGCTGATTCTAGCCATCAACAGGAACAACTTTTATTATGGGACCAACGCTGGAATCGCGAAAAAAATCAGCTGTTTTGTTGGAAGGCCAAAGGGGAAGATCTTCCTTCGAGCTGGGTGATAGTAGCTCGAGGGTCGCGGTCCGACTAATGTTGGTCGGGCATCGTATATATGGAGTGTTTGGCTCCGAATTTCTCTTGCGCGTTGTAGGCTTCCATACGTTGTGAACGCAGCGCCGGTAGTGCCATCTCTTGGGGAGGCGACTGACTATTTCCTCCATGTTGATAATATGTGGGGCATGTAGATGTCTGATGCACTTTTGTATGAAACAGCAGATTTTTTTTTCGCGATTTCGGCGCTGGTCCTATGATAAAAGTTGTTTATGTTCATGGCTAGAATCACCCCCTACGAGGTTGTTGGTGGTTTTAAAATTAACCCTGTATAGAAATGTAACTCAATGAAATAGATTTTTTTTATTGATACTTCGGCAAATGAATCCACCCCACCTGATGTTAAGTGACGGTGGAGTTAAGCCTTCAAGTATTGTATTATATCAAGACTGGGCGCATATGTTCGGTTTCCTGATCAGGGATTCCGTTTCGAGGACTTGAATGCACGTCATTACAAACAAAATGTTTAATGTGGTGCACGCACATTATACTTATTTTTTCATAATGGAAAAATTCGTAACGTTCGGTTTGGAAACTATCTAAATCATATTCGCCCAGCATATTTGAAGAAAAATCTTTTCTACCCCTTTTATTAGGGATAATAGAAGTTCATATGAGAAGTGCATAGTAGCGATGCTCGTTATGACGATAACAGTTAAAAAACGAATTATTTTCCCGCAATGAACAACATATTATTGAACAGCGAACTGTCCTGTTATCCCGTTGTTGCTGTTGACAACTAAACGCAGCCTGGTCGCGCTGTTGCCTCGTTGCTTGTGTATGAACGGTACGAGCCGAGCAACATACATACATTGCAACGGGTATGAGCAAGTGAAAGCATACCGTTGCCGCACTGTTGCCTGCATCTCTTAGATAGGATGTAATCTTTCGTGCAACGAAATAAAGTTCCTATTTGATTACTTTTTTATTTAGAAGCTTCGTCATTTATCCCAAGTTGATAATTTATGCCTTAAGCTGTTGCATTTTGTCTTATTTCAATTTTCAATGCGATTTGAAATCAAACGTAGGTAAATACGACAACAGTGCTGTTTTGCTTAACTGTTGTCAGTTTTTTAGTAACAAATAATTTGTCATTACCTGATCACGTATGCAAATTATTTTTAAAGTTTTACGTATAGAACGTTAGTGTAGTGATGTTGTGATAACATAATTATTGGTTATTGTAAATGAAGGAGGACTTGCTTTTGAAATATAATATTCTGCAGGCGGACCAGATTAACATCATCTAAGGTCACATAAATAAATGTTTTACAACAAGAATTTCTTTCTTGAATATAAATCATAAAATCTAAAAAGGATACTGTAAATATCAGATTACGTAAAAACTTTTGAATACACAAGAATATTATTTTGATTATTTAATTTTTAATTGTTCAAATTACTGTCAAATATTCTGAAAATCCTCTATGCCTGTAAAAAGTAAGAAGTAAAGTTCATCCTTAAGAATAACTCTTAACAAATTAATAAGCTAGCTACACATGTAAATACAACTGTATGCAACGACATTTGGCAAAACAGCAACATAACAGGATAACAGACAACAGTTTACAATAACAGTTGTTAGAAAATAACACAACAAAATTAAAAATAAAACCATAACCTTAAATGCTATTTCTTCTTTCTGATGTTTAATACTTGAAAAAGTATTCATTTGACATTGTGACTTACCTACAATGCGAAGAGATGGCGTTGCCTTGCAGCTTATGGATAGGAAAAATTTCGACGCGGCCATTAGGGCCGCGGTAGCATAATTGGTCTGTGCATTCGCCCGGATTGCGAAGGGTGCGGGTTCGAGTCCCGTCTGCTGCCTGGTCCGCGTGGATTTTTTTCTATCAAAACTTTTCTTTAGATTTAAACATCTAGCAGTTAAATGCTTAAAAAAAACATAAATAACTGAACAATTTTATTGTAAAACAGCCACTATTACTAGTTCATAGTATTGCTATGTCAATCTGTTTATATCAATATACGACCTCTAATTATTAGCTAAGTTTGTGTACATATTTTACAGCTTAGAATAAAACAATATACATACTAGATACGGTTTTATTAAGCGCGTAAAAGTAAATTTTACATATTTTGACATTTTGGGTTACCTCCAATGCGAAGAGATGGCGTTGCTTTGCTGCTTAAGAAAGGCTAGAAAGAATTCGACACGGCCATCAGGGCCGCAGTAGCAAAATGATCAGTGCATTCGCCCGGATCGAAGGGTGCGGGTTCGAGTCTCGTTTACTGCCTGGACCGCGTGGAATTTTTTCTAGTAATATTTTCTTTAGATTTAAACATCGAGCAGTTAAATGCTAAAAAATATATATATATACTAGCTGACCCAGCGAACTTCGTACCGCCCTAAAAAAATAGGGGTTGTCCAGCGGACAAAATTGTGAATCTAAACCATTCTCAGATCCCCTTGAACACACACAAAAAATTTCATCAAAATCGGTCCAGTCGTTTAAGAGAAGTTCAGTGACATACACACTCACAGAAGAATTATATATATAAGATATAATGTTTACATATTCGAACGTTTCGGATAATTTTCTAATTCTATCTTCCAAACTCTTGTATGAATTTGGACAAATATTTTATGTAGTAGAAAAAAACAGTTAATGTTACAAAATTCACGTACGTATTGGCTATTTATAATCGTCGGCGCAGACGAGGAACATTTGCTTGCGGAGAAAAAAGTCCCTGAATCGTGAATAAAATGTCCGCCAAGGACATTTGTTGCCTCAAAACTTAGAAAATCGCACGTTAGGAAGTATATATAGTTATAGAGCGTATTATACTGCTGTCACAATAACAAAAAGGTACAACCTCGTAAAGTGCTAGTATAATATTAGTATTCATTGTTTTATTAAATTAATTGAAATTTGTGTGTAAAATAGTAGATTGTTTAGTAAGGGAGCGAAGAACTATTTTAAAGGCGAGAGCGTTCGTCGCTCGATGTTTAAAATAGTGTTTTTTTCATTTTATCAGTCCCTATTAGGAAATAAGTAAATGCAACGACATATTATTTTTTGCTTCCGATACAAGGGAGTAAATTTAATACTTTCATTCTCACCACTTGAGGACGATGCATGACTTTTATAAAACCAAATGAAACCCGAATATCAGTAATCAATATGAACGACTGCGCAATGTTTTTAGACGCGCTTTTATTTACCCATTTTTTATTTGACAAGCGCACGGTTAGTTTTCATACTGCCTGTGACTTGTTCATAAGATGTTCGTGATTGATAACTTTTACTAATAATATCCACATTCCTAATTCAAATTACTTTTAGTCCCTAGGGATTGAAACACTATTTTGGTCCCTGTAAACAGAGAGCGAAGTAGCCCGTTTCGAATTGATGTGATAAAAACACATTTGTAATTTACGTTGTTATTTATATACTAAGAGGTTGGTACTGTTATCTGAGAAATAGATTTATTTATTTATTGGCCTGTCGAAAACGTTGTAGTTTAGCGGTTTTAATATAATGACGTCACATGACTTCAGATAGGGCGCACAATAAAGTTATTTCTTTTCTGTCCAATTAAGGGATGAAAAATCCAACTATATTCTACTAACTTAAAGTCATACAAAAAGGCGACCTTCGATTTCTGCCCCATATATCTTGGTACAAATTAGAAAAAAAATCCATCATAAATTCTACTTAAGAAAACGAAATAAAATCTGAATTAGAATATTTAGAAAAGGGGAATCTATGACTATAACAGATGACAGCTAATACTATTGGTATAAATTGATTTCCTTGATTATGATTGGTTGTAGCTATGGATTTGATTGTGACGTGTAATCGCCTTGGTACAAAGCCTTTCCGCCTACCCTTTCAGTACCTTCCTACCTACCTTTTATATAATGTTCATAAAATTATAATGAACTTGCAATTGTTTCAAGCTTATGCTGATCGGTTTTATTTTTTTATGATTTCCGTACTTGTTTTAATGTATTTAAAGATGCACATTTACCACAGTATATTATCTGTGTTGCCGTTCGTTTAAATGTGTAAAGCAACATTTTTTTGTGGTACAAGTGGATAATAAATTCCATTTATACATTTTTAATGAATTCGGCATAATTTTCTACCCATAAATGCATGATAATACTTGTGGTACAAGATGGGCAAAGTTGTGTAGAGAATTGAATTGATCCGTTGGGTTCCCTAATCAAAATATAACTAGTTTATCACTCTTTGGGATATTAGAGAGAAAAGATATGACCCGTTTCTTAGGTAGCTAGTTCTTGTGACGTCACAACTCTTAACAAAATGGCCGACAAGTAAACGAGCAATCTGGTTGCAGGCGGTGGGAGCGGTTACCAAAATCTCTTCGAAAAATTCATAGAAGGAGGCCCTAAAGGTACCATTCACAACTAATTTTGTACCCTATTGAGTATTAATCAGAATATTTAGTAGTTTAAAACTTTAGAGATTGTACCTATCTAGAATAAATGTGACGTCATATATATTTAAATTATAATTATTAGTATTTATTTGAGGTAATAATCATAATTTTTGCACTTCACGAGTTTGTACCATTAATATATTTTTTCGTTATATAAAAATATACTAGTTGTTACGTAATTTTAAATAGTTTAGTTATCACAATCGTTATTAATATTATTTTATATTCGAGAAAAAAATATAATGTCTTTTATCAGGAAATAACTAACATCAAATTAAAACAAAACAACACATTTTAAATTTAAATATGGTTTTTTATTATGTAGTTGCATTTGAAAGAATGTAATTCGCTTATTAAGTACAATTTATCAGGGCTTGGTTTCTAAAATACCGGTAAATAAAGGTTAATACCGGTTTTTAGTAAAGGTTTCGTTCGGAGCGCGTCCGAAGTGAAAGCGGTACCTAAAACCTTAATAAACCGGTTTAATCCAGAGCGACACGTTCACGCGTCGGCATCGCTTGAGGTTTGTTTTGTTTGAACTAATCAAGTCACAACTTGTTAATGCAGAGAGATTGGTGCATTTATTGACACGTTTGCTAGCGTAGTAGTAGTACTGAGTCAAGTTATTCATTTATTATCGATGCCGTCAGAAAGAGCGAAATGAAACCCTTTGAAAACAGCTTAATTGATTCAAACCTATTTGATTTCGCTCTTTAAGAAAACCGGTTTTTTAAGGTTAAGTTAGAGCCAAACCTAAATAAAACGCTCCTAATGTATTTGACACTGATTTAGGTTTGAAAATTAACCGGTAAACAAGCCCTGCAATTTATACAAAAAAAAAACCGATAAAGTTTACATGAGTATAATTTTGTACCTTCGATAACTGTACCTTACAAGTTACTAGTTTTACACAAAAAAAATTGAGCCGTCACGGGACGCCTGGCAGGCGTTACATCGCATAAATTCAAACCTATGTGGTTTTTAGATGCGATTGATCGCAACATTATAATTATATTTCTTTGAAACTGGTAATAATAATACAAAACAAAATGTGAAACACTAGCCTGTTTACGATAAATACACTCGGAGAATTGCTCGGGTTTAGTGCGCTAAAAAAATACATAGGTCTTGCCTCGAAGGGCGCTGGCGCCGTACTGATAGCGTTTTTTTTGTATGCTGTTGGTCGCAGATGACCTTTACAGCGTCACCGGGTTTGGGGACGGCGAGATCCTAAGGGGATCTCAAGCCGGGAATTGGCGAGTGCCTCTAGAAGTATTCCAGGCGGATGGCATCTGCCCACGGGGGGAGTGTCCTCTCCGTCTGGAGCCTCCAGACTACGAGCACCTGAGGGGGTCGGCTCAACTAGAGGGCGTCTCTGAGACTCGGACCTCGTCTCTAGTTAGCCGTTGTCGTGGGGGGCGGGAATTCATTGATCGGCGAGTAGTTGAGCACTGGGGGCCAATCGCCTAACTGGATTGCTTTGGAAAACGCTATCGCTTACGATTTCATTTTGTTATTTCTAGCCCCCTGAGGTTTTCAAATGCCTCGCGCTCTTTTTTTTTCTTTTGCATTGGTAATAACAATGTTAAAGAAAATGAGCGTGAGGTATTTCGGCGGTAAGAAATAACAAAATGAAATCGTAAGCGATAGCGTTTTCCAAAGCAATCTGGTTAGGCGATTGGCCCACTGGTATACATATATTGCATTTTACGAGCGAGCGTCTCCACGCCAGAAATCGGTTTGCATGCGCCAATAGATTTTCCACATCAAAAATAAATATTTTTTAATATTTTAATGTAAACGTCCGAAGCGTCAAGTGCTTTGTCAAATTTATATTACGGCTAGTCGGTATTCGTGAGAGGTCAAATTTATATTACCGCTAGTCGGTATTCGTGAGAGGTCGTAATGTATAGACTCCGGCAATCTTCTTGCATATACACTATAGACAAGGAAGCTTGCGCATCATCATCATATCATCAGCCTATTAGTGTCCCCACTGCTGGGGCACAGGCCTTCCCTATGGATGGAATAGGGAGATTGGGCCATGACCCACCACGCGGGCCCAGTGCGGATTGGCGGATGCAAACGACTGCAGATGCAGCTGGAACCAACGGCTTAACGTGCCTTCCGAAGCACGGAGGAACTCGATTCGCCTTCGCCCGGATTGCGAAGGGTGCGGGTTCAAGTCCCGTCTGCTGCCTGGTCCGCGGGGATTTTTTTTTCTAGTTATATTTTCTTTAAAACTAGTTATTCAGTCTAGTCATTTTGATACCTTATCTATGGGTTAAATCTTGTTTTTGATGAATCGAGATTAAGCTAATTTGCTGAAAGCGGGCCTTATTTGTTAATTTATTATTTATTGTCAACAGTGATGGATATAATTCGAATGGAGCACAATTACAGCGCGGAACCTGTTAAGCAAGAATCGGAGGCCGTGTCCCGTCTCAACGTCAGACAACTGGTCGACACCCTGGGATACCTGTGAGTATGGAACGGTCACCCATCTTTTTCCTAACCATTGGCTACGTTGCTTCACTTTCACAATCGCGGAATCAATCTTGTTTTACCGTAGTAGACATTACAGCGACACGTGAGACAACTGGTCGACACCCTGGGATACCTGTGAGAATGGAGCGGTCACCCATCTTTTTTCTGACCATTGGCTACGTCGCTTCACTTTCACAATCGCGGAATCAATCTTGTTTTACTGTAGTAGACGTTGAAGCGATACGTGAGACAACTGGTCGACACCCTGGGATACCTGTGAGTATGGAACGGGCACCCATCTTTTTTCTGACCATTGGATATGACGCTTCACTTTCACAATCTCATCAAATTCGGTAAACTGGACTAGACATGAAACACTGGAATATTTATTATTTAAATTTATAATCAATTAAGCTTTGATTAAATACAAGACTATTAATCCAAATTGGCTAACTAAAGTACACCATAGAGACTCCCACGGTAACATGACAAAAAACTCAAAAATAGTTTTACTAGAAAAAAATCCACGCGGACTAGGCAGCGGACGGGACTCGAACCCGCACCCTTCGCAATCCGGGCGGATGCACTGATTTAATACTTGAAAAAGTATTCATTTGACATTGTGGGTTACCTACAATGCGAAGAGATGGCGCTGCCTCGCAGCTTAAGGCTGGGAAAATTTCGACGCGGCCATCAGGGCCGTGGTAGCATAATTGGTCAGTGCATTCGCCCGGATTGCGAAGGGTGCGGGTTCGAGTCCGCGTGGATTTTTTTCTAGTAAAACTTTTCTTTAGATTTAAACATCTAGCAGTTAAATGCTTAAAAAAATAAAAACATAACTCAAAAATACCTCATCAAAATCATCATCATCATCAGCCTTATAATATCCCCACTGCTGGGGCACAGGTCTTCCCTATGGATGGAATAGGGAGTTTTGGGCCATGACCCACCACGCGGGCCCAGTGCGGATTGGCGGGTGCTAACGACTGCAGATGCAGCCGGGACCAACGTGCCTTCCGAAGCACGGAGGAACTCGAGATAGAAGATTTTTGGTCACCCATCCAATGACCGACCACTGCGAAAGTTGTTTAACTTCAACGATCGCAGCCGAACGCGCTAACCCACGCGGAACGGTCCATAGGAAGGCCTGTGCCCCAGCAGTGGGGACATTAATAGGCTGACGATGAAAAGTAAACTATTATTCATTTATATTTTCGTTTAAGTTAATGTTAATGATATGTAACTTATAACTTAACGAGTGACTTTTGAGAGTTGCCGCAGCTGACTTACAAATAACCTGTTTAAATTAGCAATATCTCTCTAGTACATTTTTTTTATCTGAAAAACAAAAAATGGTTAATCGACATCTTTATAAAAACTCAAGTTGCTACCACTTTAACGAAGAAATTGTTTTATCAGGTCCCTGAAGAATCTGCAACGGAAGCAACTGTGGGTTGTCAAGGTTGAAACTGAGAAGAGCGAAGCATCCATCACTCAAGCGGAACAAGTCATCACCAAGATGCAAGACCCGAAGCAAATCATAGAGGTAACCGATTTGATAAAATTAAATATAGTGCTGGAATCGATGTTAATGTTTTCGTATACATAATAATGGTATTTTAATTTTTTTTTAGCGGTCTGTTAACGGAATATCTAATTTTTGTAGTTCAGTTTTAATTGATGTCTATAAAGCCTGATAGATATAAGATAAAAAAAATCATATAAGAGAATAAGATATTATTTTTTAAGTTTATTATTTTAAGCTTACCAAAAATAATAAAATAAAAAAAATACTACGACTAAAAGATTCGTATTCGCCCTCAGATCATACCGCAGACTTCAAGCGCTGACACATCGACGTCACAAAGCGAAGTCTTACACATAATGGACGACGGACAGATCCCAGACAATTTCATCTACGAAATAGCCCAAGAACAAGAAATAACTATGGAGGAAGTCAAAGAAATACCAGCATCGGAGAACAGGGAATGGATGGTGAACATAATACCCGAGGACTCTAAACCGAAGTACGCTTACATCAAACATTGCAGTACTGGAAAAAAGAAAAGGCATTTCACCGCAGAAATGAACGAGATAACCTTCCAAGGAGACTTTGAGAACTACTACATATTGCCAGACGTAGATCCTTCGGTCGGTGTGGAAATCACCACGAGCTATGAACCAGAGAATTATATAGTCGAGGAATACGAGCATTTGGTTCTTGAGGAACGACCTAGAAAACGGACAAAAGAAACTCCGGATTCATCGAAGAAAAAGAAGAAACGGTTCTCTGCAGTCCGGGATCAAGTCAAACAGATACAGTTGAAGAACGAAGAGCAGGATTGGGTCATCGATAACAGTATCACTTACGAACAAGACGGTGAAGAATATGAAGATCCGAAGAAAGCTCGAGTCAGACGGAAAAACAAAAAGTATTTGGGATATGATTTTGTCACTTAATGTGTGTTGTGCTCGTTGGGAACTGATGTTTATGGGCTGTTTTTCCACAGTTTTTTTGAAGCTGAAAAGTCTATCAAGGAACGTCGTTAATTTTTTTTCTAGTAGAATTTCCTGTTAATTTTTTTATAATATCTAGATGACCGGTCGTACGTCATATCACTTAACCTAACGACATTAAAACTCTCTTCGCTGAAATGGTTGAAAATTTTGATCAGTATGGTCAGGCGTTGCCATTTTCATAAGTTCACAGAAAAGTTAATGTGAGGTAACGAAATTGTTTTTAATATCTTCTTTTAGATTTATCCATAATTTCTCACTGTTTAAACCTTCCTTGAATTACGATAAACATTTCAAAACCAAAATCAGCTAAATCGGCTCAGCCGTTCTTGAGTTTTAAATCAAATTATAAATATTGATTTTGGTGTTACATTCATTCTTTAAATCATGATATTGGGTGTAATTCATCATTATTATCATCAGTCTATTAATGTGCCCACTGCTGGAGCACAGGCCTTCCCTATGAATGGAATAGGGAGATTGGGCCATGACCCACTATGTGGGCCCAGTAATGCATTAATAATGTAAGTAATGAGTGGGTGCACTAAATGAGGTTATAACAAAATTAGAAAAGAATATGTTGATACCAACCTAAAATAACACTGTCTTTTGGTGGTATTATGTTTCTGTCGATGAATAAGGTTTCAGGACTCCACGGGTTAGACAATTGAATAGAATAGAATACTCTTTATTTGCATAAAATATGGTTTATTGCATATACAGCTTATTATGTTAAGCTAAGAAACTTAAATCTATTTAGCCATATTAATAGCATGCAAAAAATTCTAAAATATAATGGTCATATTACAGTATTTTCATCGTGTCAGGGTAGGTGACGATGCGAGTAATATTTTTTGTATTGCAAGAGTACCATATGCTACTTTTTCAACCCTTATAACATAAAAATTAGACGAGTTAAATGCTGTTGAAATATTTAGAATTGTTTCGTTCGGTCTCTTTAATATAACTTTATTGAAAAGTAACTTATTCGTGAAGGTTTTACTTTGTATATTTTTAATATAAAATTATTTTAAAAGATTTTTAATCAAAAAAAAGCGAGTGTGCTTATTATCAAACGTCTGAAGTGAAACTTCTTTAGCTCCATCTGTATGTATATATATATATATATATATATATATATGCGAGTGTACAATATATATATTACATGTATGTACATATACATATTTCATTTACTAGCTATAAGAGAAAGAGAGAAAGTAAATGTGCGCGCGCACTGCTTTCTCACTCAACTCCCGTTTGCATCGCCCGAACACACTTTTGGTAACGCGTAACGCATTCGCCAGCTTACAAGTCAACATACTTTAACTGAATTGTGGAAAAGTGCCCGTAACTCATGTAGAAGCTTTTAATATATAACTATATACATATAATATAGAAATAGAACGCCGTTAATTTTATCGTTCTAAGTTTTTTTTAAATTAATAGAAATATATATATTACGTTTTCTCAATAAATAGATCAATGAAATCAATGATGGATTAAATCGAGTAAATTAATTACGAAATAGGGTTCCCAGGTTCGAGCCCTGGTAGACTTAGTTGTTAGAAAACTGAATTATGGGTTGCCATAGTAGTCCAAAACGATAGTTTTAAAATACGCAGATAGGGAAAGTCTGTCAATGTATAGGGTCATTTTGGACACTTGGAGACAGTCTGGTGAATTGTCACTAAAGTTTCCGAGCCTTAAAGCTATATTAAAACATTAAATACATATTTATATAAACAGTGGAAAAGCTAAATCGCCTTGAAGCCACTTTAGTAACTTTGTAAAAACGAGATTCAAAGTTTTTTTTACAAAAAAAATCATATCTCATTGTTTTAGAGAAGAAGCGCCATAAAAAAAGAAATATTCATAAAATAATATTCAGTTGCAGTACCTTGCAGTTTAAGATAGGCTTGAAAGAATTCGACACGGCCGTCAGGCGCACGGTAGTAACTGGTCAGTGCATTCGCCAGGATAGCGAAGGGTGCGGGTTCGAGTCCCGTTTGCTACCTGGTCCACGTGGAATTTTTTCTAGTATTATTTTCTTTAGATTTAAACATCGATCAACATGCTTAAAAAATAAAAATAGTATTTTTTATATATCTTCTTATCAAAAAGTTACATAGTGCTTTTAATTTACGAGTGAGATGTCGCTTAAGCGAAAATCACCCGGCCTGCCATACATTTTTTGTCAAGCAAACGTCAAATCATACGCCAAATAGTAGTCGTAAGCGCCATTGGTTCAAAAAACCAAAATTGAAATCGTTTCAGCGTTGTAAACAGTAAAAAAAATCTTTAAATAATTTATTGCTTGTGGGTCAAAATGGTACTCGAGTCTTCACGATATATAAACAGATCCACGCAGAAATAAAATCTAATTAAAATGATGATGTGGCGGCGACTTCTACATGCCCCACATAGGAGAAGGCTAATACATCATGTTAGCCTCCGAATATTACTTGCGCGATTTAGGCTTCCATACGTATTGTTCGCAATGCCGGTAGCGCCTCTGTTGAGGAGACGAGTGACTATTTCCTCCATGTTCATTATATGTGGGGCATGTAGATGTCGCCGCCACAATAATATAGAACCTTAGATTAAAACAAAAAGGGAAGATACTCGCGGCTCAAAAGTGATCCGCTTAAATTGTGGTCCATGACCACAATTCGCTTTAGCAAAAATTTAAAATTCAATATCGTTTATTAAGTCTAGGCTGTTACAAGCACTTGTGAATGTCGAAAAGCTACGCCATCGGTTCGCAAATCTACGGCGGGAGACCTTGTACTGAGAAGAACCGGCAAGAAACTCAGCAAGGGCTGCTTTTTTCTCCCTGTATTATTTCATACAGTGTCGTCCAATTGAAAGTTGACATCAAACTTGCAAACATGTGTTGAGGTCAACTTCCATCACATAATGTCAAATATGTAACAATAGACAATCAACGAATTTACTAACAATAAGTGCAATTGGACATTCAAACACGCTGCATGTGCACTCAATATAACAATATTGCGTATATTCTGTGTTGTGAAGTTAAAATCATGCCTTCGGTGCTTTTAAAAAAAACACAAATAATTCAAAATCAAATAACAAATGCCTCGGCAACACTTTTCATTCGTAAAACTGTAAAAACATCGTGAATGTTATTTACGTAATCGCAATTTTGTTATCAAGAAAAGGACAACAATACAGCTCAGTCGTGCGGACTCGGAAGCGGTTTCGCCGTTTCGCTCGCGCTGCGTTGAAGCGTACAGTTCTGTCTCGCTCGCTCGATTGAATGTTTATATACAGACGTGTGCGTGTGTGAGAGTTGCTTATGTAGTTGAGACGGATCATATTTTATTTGATGCTAGTATGAGCGTACCGTATCTACCCTTTTTGTTTTAATCTAAGTTTAAAACTTATTTCATCGATCAAAGCGGCGTATAAGCGATCTTGCCTTTCCACCGTCGATATATTTGTGCTTGCACCCTATATGGTCGTTGTTTAATCACCATAGACATTGGGAATGGACTGAACGACACTCCCATAGACTAAACTGTAGAAAGAGAAAAAGCGATGGTGCTGCGCTGCTCTTAAAATGATAAAGGACTCTGAAATAATAATAAAAACGAGCGAGCCTTACAGTAGTCGCGTATGATGTGTAACATTTGAAACCTCACCTTATACAGGGTGTTACAAAAATACAAATAAATCTTGAAGGGCGTTGAAGTACATCACATAAGGAGACTTCTCTAATATTCTTAAAATATTTGCATGAAGTTTTAACTTTATATAAAAACAGTTATTTTAAATGATCCTCGAACTTGTGACGTGTCTTAAAATTATCGATATTTTTATTAATCTTTAAAAATAACTGTTTTTATAAAAAGTTAAAACTTCATGCAAATATTTTAAGAAAATTAGAGAAGACTCCTTATATCATGTACTTCAACGCCCTTCAAGCTTTATTTGTATTTTTGTAACAGCCTGTATTAGTAAAAAAAGTAATAAAACCTACTACAAAAGGAATAAGCTATTTCAACATTATGTTCTAAAGTCGAATCAAATAGCGCGCGCTTCCCAAACTTCCTGTTACACACTTCCGTCCCGTTTCACGTAATCGCTCCCACAAATCGCAGGAAAGCGAGAGGAAAGATGTTACACATCAAAAACGTGATATAATATAAATTATGGTTAGGATTGCCACCTTTTTTTGTCCAAATAAAGTACATTGGATATTAAAGGTAGAAAAAAAAACTACATTGTGTCCAATATAAAGTACTTCTTCTCTTTATTAGTAAGCTTAAAAATATATTTTACGTTGCTCCTAGCAACTTTTAATAAATAATTTGTGGCTACTAAAAATCTGTAGTTCTTTTCCGCAATAGAAAGGGTCATATTATAAAGCTATAGAGCCACGAAAATGTTGCAGGAATTAGCTAGGGGCGACATATTCATACTGTCTGTCCGTTTTACGCAAAAATTCTTCCTATCAACCTCTTTTTGTATATTTTATGTAAAATTAATCCCCGATTAATCAAATCACATTAAATAAAGTATTTTCGCGTACTTTATTGTTGGCATAAATAAATATAGAGTACAATTACCCAAAATGACGTACAATACTTTATAATAAAGTACGGGTGGCAACCCTAATTATGGTGCTCATGCTACAGAGACTGACCAGTTTTACTTTACAGGGAACGTTTATTCCATTCTCCGTGTCTATGGTTTCCGTACGGACTAGTAAAAGGCCGCAACAAAATGAATTTTATTTCTCTTTTGCAGTCCATACCGGCCGGTGTGAATGAAACGGCGATAGTGTGCGAGCAGGAAGGGATATTAAGGAGTCGGCGTCATGTTTAAATCGTTCCTTTTGGCGGGTATTTACGCATTGCAACGCAGTTATGTACGATCGAATTTAATGATACGAAAATGTAATATAATTATGTTATGATGATTTCTGTGAATTTTTACTTTTTTATATTATTTCACAATTTATAAACGATTTTGTCTCGGCAACCGAAACTACATTGATTTGAAGCATATTTTTTTTTATTTCACATGCTGTCGTTTAACTAGCCTATTGTATATTTAAACGAATAAAATGCAATATAATATAATATGAAATTGAATTAGTGACGCAGTATGAATAATTAAAATTAGGCATTTTCTAATGCCAAATTCTACGCTAACTTTAAATCGATGTAGTTACTTTCAAGTGGTAACAAATGTAATCTGATGATTTTTACAATTTTATACTATAGTAATTACTGTTATTAAATTGCAACACAAATTCTTTTTTTTAAGCTACCAACACGTACAACTATTTTATCTTACCATTATTCGAATTTCTTAATACACTTCCCACATTTCAAAATGGGGCGTCTCATTTTAACTCGTATGCTAGTTATATCTTACATAGGATATAAAAATAAAATTTTTTTTGCACACAACTGTTTCGATATACAGGGCGTCCCACAAAAGACTGCGATTTTAGTGCGAATTTAACTCTTATAAAATCGTGTTCATATAATATGTGTTCTTATTAAGTGTAAATTGATGTGGATTGATTTTTATGAATAAAGTTCTTTGCAGTCTTACAAAATTTGGTACTTAAAAGCTACGCATTCTGCACCATATGCCTTGCGTTGCAATGTGTTATATCCGTAATATTGTAACCATTATTATCTTTATTGGTTTATAGAAAAAAAAAACAATTGTGTTTTATCCATATTTGGGTTATTTTCCTACCAATCTTTCTCTTTCTATCGCTTAAACGTTCATTTATTCATAAAATAATTATTAGGTATTATTTTAAATTAATTTGCCGAATCTGTAAAAAAAATCATGCTGTAGAAAAAGTTTGATTGGCAGGAAAATGGCGGAAAAGCGCGCGAAATTGCGCAAAGGCTAAATTAATATGGTATTATGTTGCTTCCCATAGTTCATAGATGGAGTTATATTCTATATTTAGGTGTTTTTTTTGTCTATGTATAAATTTGGCTTTTTAATTAAATAAACTGTCTAAATATTAAATCATTTTTTAACAATCAAAATCTTGTCCCTTCCCCTATTTAAAACGAAACCATTTATCAATCGGGGTTTATCTTAGATTAATATAAAAAGAGAAGATACGGCACTCGCGGCTCAAAAGTGATCCGCTTAAATTGTGGTGCATGACCACAATTCGCTTTAGTCACAATTGGACATTCAAACACGCTGTATGTGCACTCAATATAACAACATTGCATATATCCCGTGTTATAAAAATAAAACAATGCCTTCGATGCTTTTATAAAGAACACAAATAGTTCAAGATCAAATAACAAATGACACGGCAACACTGTTCATTCGTAAAACTATAAAAAAAAACTCAAAAATCATTGATTTTGCTTTGAATGTGAGTTACTGATTCGCCATTTTTTATCAAGAAAAGGACAAAAATACAACTCAGCCGACTGTAGAGACAGAAAAAACGCAGTCGGCTGCAAAGCGACGCGGACTCGGGTCGTTTCGCTCGCGCTGCGTTGAAGCGTACAGTTCTGTCTCGCTCGCTCGATTGAATGTTTATTTATACAGACGTGTGCGTGTGTAAGTGTTGCTTATGTAGTTGAGTCGGATCATATTTTATTTGATGCTAGTATGAGCGTACCGTATCTTCCCTTTTTGTTTTAATCTAAGTGGTTAATTAATATAATTTAGCACCAGGTTGGTATAAAATTTCATGTCAATGTCATTTATATTGTTTGAAAGCTTAAGCTGCCAAATTATTTACGTTTTTTTATAAAATAAGTTAGCGATACAAAATCAAAATTGATCTATGGTTTGTCAAAATGTATTTTGAATCAATTTGAGTTAGACCTTAGATTGAAGTTTTTTTTTTCAATTATATTAAATATTATCCTAAAAGTAAATGAGTGTTGGTTATTTTTCTAGTTAAATCTAAAACCACGCTATTTTAATTACACTAGGTCGAAAAAACGAGTGTGCTTTTGACCAAACGACTGAAGTGAAACTTCTTTTTTCCATCTGTATGTATATACAGGGTGTGACAAAAGTCCGAAATAAAACTTTAGGGTTTGGTTGTGTTCCTTGTATAGAATTACCTACGAAAGTTTGACGCCTTTCAGACCACTTTTGTTTTCTAATTTAATTAATAAAAATATCGTTTTACACCTGCCTATGATAACCCTATAAATGCGTACGATTACTACTACCTAAACAGACCCCCCTCTCTCCACCAGGTACCCCTGCGCCTCGCTCAGATACCTACAAATTTTTATTTCGGAATACATACCTACAAATTTTATTTCGGAAATCTGTAACACCCTGTATATATATATATATGTGTGTACAATATATACATGTATGTATATATACATATTTCATTTACTAGGTATAAGAGACAGAAAATGTGCGCGCGCACTGCTTTCTCTTGCTTATATCCCCCACCAACTCCCGTTCGCCTCGCCCGATCACACTTTTCGTAACGCGTTCGACAGCTTACTTACTCCCCAAGTCAAGCGTGCGTAAAGAAGTTTCAATTCAAAAATGCAATCTGTTATTAGTAATTTAATTTTTAACCAGTTTTAAGTTGTTCGTCGTTTTTTGCAATGAATGATTATTGTAGAAAAGAATAGAATACTCTTTATTTGCATTAAAATAGGGCTGACCAGTGCCGTCTTTGACCTATTGGAGGCCCTGAGCATATTAGGATAATGGGGCCCCCATCAGTTCCGTTTGGTGATTTAACAGGAACTATGGACTTTGTATTTGATCTGAGATCTATTAAAACATAACAGTCATATGATAGTATTGTCTTTATACCTCTCATTCATTATTGAGGGGCTCGATGGCGCAAGTGGTTAGCGTGTTCGGCTGCGATCTTTGAAGTTAAGCAACTTTCGCAGTGGTCGGTCATTGGATGGGTGACCAAAAAATTTTAGTATCCCACTCCTCCGTGCTTCGGATCTGCAGTATTGTAGGTTGATGAGTATTTTTTGTTTAAGGAGAAATAACGATTTGGGAAAATATAATGGTTTTTTTTAGAGAATATCAAATATTTTTGGCGCCATTTTTTAAATATTATTTGGGACATACGAGCTGACAGTTCACCTGATGGTAAGTGATCAATGTCGTTTATTTACACCGGCAACACCAGGAGTATCACAAAGCGATGCCAGCCTTTAAAGGAGTACGCTCTTTTTTTAAAGTTTATTTATTTGACATTGTGGGTTACCTACAATGCGAAGAGATGGCGCTGCCTTGCAGCTTAAGAAAGGCCAGACAGAATAAGACTCTGCCATCAGGGCCGCGGTATCATAATGAGGGCTATCGCGTATGAATCCGCCGCTAGAGGCGCTAGTGTAGCGCGAGGTCTCCGAAATGTCAAATGTTGGTTGCTTGTTGGTTGACTACGCGGGTTTATTTCTTATTAAAATAATGTTGTGAATAATTGGTAACAATTCAGCTTAATTATGGCAAATATGAGTTATGTGGCAATGAATGTCAATTATTAAAAATTTGAGCTTAGAAAAATGATTATGTTCCCATTTTTTCCGAATAAAACGGAACTGGACGTCACTGTGGCATGGCCTATTATGTTTAGGATATGGTTCTTTTGTGTTAAAATACGATCTAAATGGAACCTTTGATTTCATGTGCGTATTAATAAACTTTCATCATCATCATCATCAGCCTATTAATGTCCCCACTGCTGGGGCACAGGCCTTCCCTATGGATGGAATAGGGAGATTGGGCCATGACCCACCACGCGGGCCCAGTGCGGGTTGGTAGGTGCTAACGACTGCAGATGCAGCCGGGACCAACGGCTTAACGTGCCTTCCGAAGCACGGAGGAGCTCTAGATAGTAATTTTTGGTCACCCATCCAATGACCGACCACTGCGAAAGTTGCTTAAGTTCAACGATCGCAGCCGAACGCGCTAACCACTTGCGCCATCGAGCTCCTCATTAATAAACTTTAAAAGTTATAATTTAGGACCTCACTCAACAGTGGCGCCATCTGGTGAGACAGAAAACGGTAGCCCTCATTGGTCAGTGCATTCGCTCGGATAGCGAATTCGTAATCGCGTGTTTTTTTTCTAGTAATATTTTCTTTAGATTTAAACATCAAGCAGTTACATGCTTAAAAAATTAAAATTAGAAGGTTTACATTAAGTAAAAAAATACATTTTGTTGGGGAATGTTGTTGTGTCCTACTGTTCGTCATTAAAAACTATGTATGTTAGAGGAGGTTACGATATATCTGCAGAAATCAGTCTGTCACAGCTTTTATATTCAGATTATCACTTTTCTTTTCAATATTTTCAGTTTAACACAACACAATGATTTACTGTATTTAATAAACTACCCTCTCTATAGGATTGGTCCCTCGTCACCCCCAGATGGGGACAAATCTGTCCAACAAATCCGGTGACGAATGGGAATTAAAAATAAAATCCCATTTGCAGTGCCGTCTTTGACCTATTGGAGGACCTGGGCATATTAGGATAATGGGGCCCCTATGACCCCCGTTTGGTGATTTAACAGGAACTAGGGACTTTGTATTTGATCTGAGGGGGCCCCCTATCGATCGCGGGGCCCTGGGCACTTACCCAAAGTGCCCACTGGGAAAGATGGGTCTGCCCATTTGACACGCGTGGGTGTTCACTTAGGGGAAAATAGCAGTTGTCACCCCCCAATAAAAAATAACATGAAAATTATTTAAATCTAAAGAAAATTTTACTAGAAACAATTCCACGCGTACCAGGCAGTAGACGGGACTCGAACCTGCACCCTTCGCTATCCGGGCGAATGCACTGATAGCGATGACATTATGCTACCGCGGCCTGATAGCCGTGTCGATTTTTCTCTAGCACTTCTTAGTTTGCAAGGCAGCGCCATCTCTTCGCATTGTAGGTAAATCAATGTGAAACGAATACCTTTACAAGTTACAAATATTTGAAGAAGAAATAGCAATAATAGTGGATATTTTTCTGGTACTCTAGCAGTTAAATGCTTAAAAAAATACAAGTATAACTACGAAAGCTATCTCTACTCGTCGCGCAGACAATTAAAAATAAGGGTTTTAAAGTTCCTAACATAACTTACCTATATCAAGGTCCATTCAAAACCAAATGAGATGGGGCGCGCGCTTTTTAATACATATAACGATACAATATTAAACTGTATTTACTAAACAGTAAGACATTGCAACAGACACACATATTTTATTGCGCGGTGTAGAGCTGCAGTATATTTTCGTATCGTCGCAATGAATTGTTTATCTTATTATATAGCAAATAAAGTTTTATTTTGTAATGCTCACTGACCTTTGGTTTGTTTTTTCCAATAATATGTTGTATATAATATGAGCAGTTGGCGAACGAAACGGTATAATTAAATGAAGCTAAATTTTACAGGAACTGTATAATTAATGACATACCTCCAGTGAGCTATTTACATGGTTTTTTATTTATAAATTTAGTAATTTTAACACTGTTTTAGGCGGTTTTGATTGAAAATTATTTGAGATTCAAATTCAACGGGCGCAAAACCTCCGGACTGTAAACATTCCGGCGTTTTGTTCGCCAGCCCCTCATGTGTCAATGTATTCACACATACATAATTAAGTATAGTTTTTAATGGTTTTAGTATAATGTAATATAACTATTATTTATTAAGTCTATTTCCTATAACAGTAGTAATAAATTATTTTTAGTTTAATTTTTATTTCATTTTCTGTTTACCGCTAAGTTGTGAATCTCTGACACCACCTAGGTTGGCTGGAAGAGATCTCTTTTAGAGATAAGCCCACCTTTGCTTACTATGTTTTAACTATATGATGCAATAAAGAGTATAATAATTTTAATTATAATTAATACGGCCCAATTCACTCTTGGATATAACGATTAAGAAAGATATATTTTTTGTTTTTTTAGTGTTGAATATATACAGTGTGTATGTATGTTGTAAATTTCAATAAATCAAAATGCCTTAGCTGAGCTGCGTTTTTTTATACCTTTAGCTTAAAAAATCATTTGCTACTTAAAATTCTGTTAAATATAGTTTGACGTTTATAAATAAGTCAGATAAGCTTCTAAAACAGTCGCATTCTGATTAAAGATTAATTTGCAGTTGTACTTTTTAAAAACCACCGAACACAGAAAGGTTTCCTCTAAACTTGACTTGTTTTATACTTGCTGTTTTTGAACAGCTTCACCTTTGGGTGAAGCGAATTTTTACAGGAAAATATTTTGAAATATAGTTTGTCAGTAATTTTAATGCTCTAATGGTTAAAATATCATTTACCTCTAAATTGGTTACACATTGTTTATATGTTGATTGTATGTGAGTTAAGAAATTTATGTAAGTTTTATATGTGGAAATTTATTGTTAGCATGTGACTGATCATAGTTTTAATATACTTTGTTATTTGTCTGTAAATTTCCCAAATAAAATAATGAAAAAAAAAATATATACAGGGTGTAAAAAAATCTTAAACGAAATCGAAGGCCACGTATTTTCCACATCATGAAGATCATTTTTATCTCTTGGACCATACCTGGGATATTTCTGGTTATGGAGATATTGAAGGTCAGTCACAATTTTTTTTTTCAAGATTTTTACATTAATATTTTCAAAACGTTATTTAGAGAATTTTTGATCGAAGCACTTACACACACGCACACACATACACACAGGCACATTCTTTACGTAGCACCACAGTAGCATGCCGCGCTATACATTGCGTACTGGAAAAAAAATGATTTTTATATTTTATTTATTTTTTAAAGCATGTAACTGCTTGATGTTTAAATCTAAAAAAATATTGGTCAGTGCATTCGCCTGGATTGCGAAGGGTGCGGGTTCGAGTCCCGTCTGCTTCCTGGTCCGCGTGGATTTTGTTTTTCTAGTTATATTTTCTTTGAAATGTTTTTTTTTAACTTAAAAATACTATTTTTTCCCACGTATAATATTTTGTAATATGACTTGTTTGGGTGTACAGAATGCGTAGGAGTCTATGTCATAGGATTTTTTATACCCTGTATACATCATTATTTGTTTAGGCAGATGGGGTGAGTTTTGGAAAACCCTTTCTTTGCGCACGCCTCATCATAATAGCTATATGGGTATCAAATTGCAGTCCAATACTTTAACTAAATAAGAAGTTTAGTGGTTGATATAGGGATTGTTCAAAGTGTTCTGAGCAACCTCGAATCAGAAGCCGCATTGTACTTGTGTAGTTTAGTGCAATGCTGCCAGTAAGTAACACAAGTATGAAACCTAATGTAATAATTTTACAATTCTTAATTAATCAGTTCAGTATTCGTTAGTTTCGATGGAGCTGTCATGTCATCGGACAAAAGCTCCTAAACAAAAAAAGATAAAAAAAAAGTTTTGTGGTTGCATTTTATTTACCGTGTTTAACGTTCATTCATTCAATTAAAATCAAATTTAACGCGAGCGAAGCCGCGTGCAAAAGCTAGTAGGTATATAATATGTTTAGTAAATAAAAACGAAATCAGCACTCAATCATTATATATTCCATTATTATGAATCATTCAAACATTATTTACAAATACAAACATAGCATTAAATCTACTTTACATGGTAGAAATCACTGGACACAGAAAGAGGCGATCACAGACCGTTTGTACGGGAACCGTTGTCGCCGGCTCGCCCTCACTACACTTCCACCTAATAGATAATAGCCAATCAAACGACGCGACATCAAACAATCCAATCAATCAGCGGTCACACCCGAGAGCAATGACAATATCAGACCCAAGTTTTGGTCAAGTTATGAGCATTTGCTCACACATAACTGTGGCGCGCCCCGCACACAGGATCCTTCTAACCTCTTTCTCTGTTCTGTGGTAGGAATCTTCGCGAATGAAATCTGTACCCTTAGCACGAACCAATATCGAATTCGAATAGTATGCGAGTGCGAAATGTATTTGTCAAATTTGGTATGAAAACTTGAACAGCAGCGCCACAATGGACGTAACGAGAACTAAAAATCTTCCACCTCCGTGGCCGAGTGGTTTGTACGCCGGGTTTCATGGTGTCGCCGACTCGAAGAGGTCCCAGGTTCGAATCCCGGTGAGGGCAGATGTTTGTGTGATAAATACGAGCATTTGTACTCCAATCATAGATGTTTAATATGTATTTCTATATAAATATACTTATATAATGTATTCTATCCGTTACCCTAGTATCCCATAACACAAGCCTTATAGTGCTTACTATGTGGCTAAGCTAATTGGTGTGAGTGTTGGAAATATTTATTTATATTGGTTCGTGCTAAGGGTACTGTCTAAGTTCGTGCTTGAAGTCGACTAAGTCGACTCTGCTTCTTCTTCTTCTTTAGTATATGATAATAAAGGACATTGTTCTGCGTCAACACATAGTTAGCCTAAGAACCAACAATCATGAAATATTATTTTCTAGGTTCGAAATCGCAAGTAAATGACTGTAAAAAGAAAGATTATTGACGGACACTGCTGAGAACTTAAATTATTAGGAAAACTAAAATTTTTTTGAAGTTATGTTTAATATTCAATGAAACATAGGTAAACCTACGAACTTAGTATGAACTCAGTTTGAAGTGAATTAATATTACAACTAATTCATTTTATTCGGTGCGATTTTAAAGAATAACTATTAGGAAAAACTTGGTTAGGTAGGAATCATGAATAAAATAAAAACGGTAGTTTTGCTTCTTATTATTTTTGGCTATTTTTCACTTAATTGTATCATATTGTATTTATTTGTATATCACATGTATATTGTGTAAATATGCAGCGTGAATGTGTATCAGGTGCTCTTAAATAATTTGGCAGTATGATCCTCTCAGGATGTTGTGGCACAGGTTCACTAGCACTTGGTAATAAGGTCTCTGCTCTTTGGTAACATCGATGGCATATTAGATAGCCGAAATAGTTAAATTAAAGGAAAAACAATCGCAAATAAACACACACAACAGGTAATCCGAAACGAGAATTTTCCGTATATAAAAAATACTCTTTGACGAGAATGCACGAATGCCACAGATTACTACGAATGCAAACTGCCTGCACCACAACCACAGAGTATCGAGTTTATGCCGGCCCTTCACTTGACAACAGTTTGTCTTTGTCATGCTTAATAAGGAATGAAAAGGACAGACTGATATCATGTTTTTAAATAGCAAATACGAATAGTCAAGTGAAGTGCCGGCATTAGGAAGAAAGAGTGTTTTGTTTTAACACGTGGCAAAATGGTGTTCCATCGTACGTGGCAATGAGATTCAAATGCGATTGAAAATGTTTCTTTGATATGTGTTACGTGGCACGGGCGAATTTCTCATCTACTGTCAGTGCCACTGTCAATGTCAGGGTGGGTGGTTGCGTTCTGTGGCTACACTCCGAATGCGGCTTTTGCAGGATGGGCGAGGATAATAGCATATTCGGCCTTATTATGGTTATAACTTTCATTAACATTTTATGCTATTAGACTTTTATTATTTATGTAACATCGTTTTAGCATCATAATATTTTTATATATTTGCATTTAACTACCTATTTCTATTTTGTTTTTTTATTTATACCATTATATAATTTTAAATCACTTTATATAATCACAATATTTTGTCCCTCTGGCGTCCTTACACAGGCCCTGCCAGAATACCAGCGCTGTTATGGTGGGAATATCCGTTCCCACAATAACCGCATTAAGCTGAGGCAGGGTCCTGATTAGCCATTCTTTGTGCTCATGTGTATTTTCTCTGTTCTGTTTTAATTTTATTGTTTTTGCTCATTGTTTTTTTTTTACTTATGTACCAACTTTTGGCCAATAAATACTTTTTCTTTCTTTCTTTGCAGCGCTGTCATAGATTATACACATATTTATTGTCTCAGATTATTTATTAACTTTTTAATTTAGCTTACTTAACTGGAAGTGTCCGTCACAATCTAAATACTGATAATTATCGCAAAAAATATACTAAGAATTATCATAAATGCCAAATTGGTGTTGGTTCTTAGGCCAATTTTAACATTGTCCTTTAATAATCGGCAGCTGTGTTCGCCAAATAGTCTCTGCGTCCAATATTCGATGCTTGCTTGTTTTGCACAGCCTCCAATTTGGGACATTCTGTTAAAAAAGAAAACATCATGTAAGTATTACGTAAGCACATTGCTGAAGAAAAAATATTATACTACATATGACCTTATCAAAAAAAGAAAAGTTAAGCATTTTTCCTAATGGTTGGATATAGGATGGGTGACCAAAAAATTGACAATCTCACTCCTCCGTGCTTCGGACGGCACGTTAAGCCGGACCAACGTCCCGGCTGCATCTGCAGTCGTTTGCATCCGCCAATCCGCACTGGGCCCGCGTGGTGGGTCATGGCCCAATCTCCCTATTCTATCCATTAATAAAGTTGACGACGATGTGTTATCAAAATTTCATCTGCAGAACTTTCAGCATAATATGCTTTTCAGGGTGCGTATTAACGAGCCGGTTATCCCCGCACGGTTTTAAGCCGGGCCTAGGGACGGTTTTAAGTCGAGCCCGGGTACGGTTTTCTGGCGGGTCTAAGCACGGTTTTAAGCCGGGTTGCGGTATGCTTTCCGATAGGTCTAGGCACGGTTTTAAGGCTAGTCTAGGTGCAATCTTAAGCAGGGTTTAGGCACGGTTTTAAGCCGCTCGTTAATGTAAGTCTACATTAACGACACTGGCGCTAGCGACGGTTCAGGGTCGGTGCAAACGAACAAGCCGTGCTCGGGAACAAGCTTAGGTAGATATCATCTCTTTTACTATCTGTTCGCATCAAGTTTTTTTATCATTTATATGATATCATTATTATTATATTTTATATCATTGTCGTCATGAAGGCCACGGCTCCTTGACGACTCAACGAGGCCACGGAGTCGTCAAGGAAGCAACGGAGTCGTCAAGGTGGTCATAGAATCGTCAACGAGGCCACGGAGTCCTCAAGGTGGCCATAGAATCGTCATTGAGGCCACGGAGTCCTCAAGGTGGCCATAGAATCGTCATTGAGGCCACGGAGTCCTCAAGGTGGCCATAGAATCGTCATTGAGGCCACGGAGTCATCAAGGTGGCCATAGAATCGTCATTGAGGCCACGGAGTCATCAAGGTGGTCATAGAATCGTCAAGAAGGCCACGGAGTCATCAAGGTGACCATAGAATCGTCATTAAGGCAACAGAGTCGTCAAGGTGGCCATAGAATCGTAATTAAGGCAACAGAGTCGTCAAGGTGGCCATAGAATCGTCATTAAGGCAACAGAGTCGTCAAGGTGGCCATAGAATCGTCATTTAGGCCACGGAGTCCTCAAGGTGGCCATAGAATCGTCATTAAGGCAACAGAGTCGTCAAGGTGGCCATAGAATCGTCATAAAGGCAACAGAGTCGTCAAGGTGGCCACAGAATCGTCATTAAGGCAACAGAGTCGTCAAGGTGGCCATAGAATCGTCATTAAGGCAACAGAGTCGTCAAGGTGGCCATAGAATCGTCATTTAGGCCACGGAGTCCTCAAGGTGGCCATAGAATCGTCATTTAGGCCACGGACTCGTCAAGGTGGCCATAGAAGCGTTATCGAGGCCACGGAGTCATCAAGGTGGCCATAGAATCGTCATTTAGGCAACGGAGTCGTCAAGGTGGCCATAGAATCGTCATTTAGGCAACGGAGTCGTCAAGGTGGCCATAGAATCGTCATTGAGGCCACGGAGTCATCAAGGTGGCCATAGAATATGTGTATATTGACCTGTGATCCGGTGCCCCAGTAAGGAGTGTGTATATTACCTGTGATCCGGTGCCCCAGCCCGCCGCAGTAGGAGCAGCCCTGCCCGTCGGCGTGGGGCACGTGGGGCACGTGGGGCGCAGGCAGTAAGGAGTGTGTATATTACCTGTGATCCGGTGCCCCAGCCCGCCGCAGTAGGAGCAGCCCTGCCCGTCGGCGTGGGGCACGTGGGGCACGTGGGCCGCAGGCAGTAAGGAGTGTGTATATTACCTGTGATCCGGTGCCCCAGCCCACCGCAGTAGGAGCAGCCCTGCCCGTCGGCGTGGGGCACGTGGGGCACGTGGGCCGCAGGCAGTAAGGAGTGTGTATATTACCTGTGATCCGGTGCCCCAGCCCGCCGCAGTAGGAGCAGCCCTGCCCGTCGGCGTGGGGCACGTGGGGCACGTGGGCCGCAGGCAGTAAGGAGTGTGTATATTACCTGTGATCCGGTGCCCCAGCCCGCCGCAGTAGGAGCAGCCCTGCCCGTCGGCCTGGGGCACGTGGGGCACGTGGGCCGCAGGCAGTAAGGAGTGTGTATATTACCTGTGATCCGGTGCCCCAGCCCACCGCAGTAGGAGCAGCCCTGCCCGTCGGCGTGGGGCACGTGGGGCACGTGGGCCGCAGGCAGTAAGGAGTGTGTATATTACCTGTGATCCGGTGCCCCAGCCCGCCGCAGTAGGAGCAGCCCTGCCCGTCGGCCTGGGGCACGTGGGGCACGTGGGCCGCAGGCAGTAAGGAGTGTGTATATTACCTGTGATCCGGTGCCCCAGCCCGCCGCAGTAGGAGCAGCCCTGCCCGTCGGCGTGGGGCACGTGGGGCACGTGGGCCGCAGGCAGTAAGGAGTGTGTATATTACCTGTGATCCGGTGCCCCAGCCCGCCGCAGTAGGAGCAGCCCTGCCCGTCGGCCTGGGGCACGTGGGGCACGTGGGCCGCAGGCAGTAAGGAGTGTGTATATTACCTGTGATCCGGTGCCCCAGCCCGCCGCAGTAGGAGCAGCCCTGCCCGTCGGCCTGGGGCACGTGGGGCACGTGGGCCGCAGGCAGTAAGGAGTGTGTATATTACCTGTGATCCGGTGCCCCAGCCCGCCGCAGTAGGAGCAGCCCTGCCCGTCGGCCTGGGGCACGTGGGGCACGTGGGCCGCAGGCAGTAAGGAGTGTGTATATTACCTGTGATCCGGTGCCCCAGCCCGCCGCAGTAGGAGCAGCCCTGCCCGTCGGCCTGGGGCACGTGGGGCACGTGGGCCGCAGGCAGTAAGGAGTGTGTATATTACCTGTGATCCGGTGCCCCAGCCCGCCGCAGTAGGAGCAGCCCTGCCCGTCGGCCTGGGGCACGTGGGGCACGTGGGCCGCAGGCAGTAAGGAGTGTGTATATTACCTGTGATCCGGTGCCCCAGCCCGCCGCAGTAGGAGCAGCCCTGCCCGTCGGCGTGGGGCACGTGGGGCACGTGGGCCGCAGGCAGTAAGGAGTGTGTATATTACCTGTGATCCGGTGCCCCAGCCCGCCGCAGTAGGAGCAGCCCTGCCCGTCGGCCTGGGGCACGTGGGGCACGTGGGCCGCAGGCAGTAAGGAGTGTGTATATTACCTGTGATCCGGTGCCCCAGCCCACCGCAGTAGGAGCAGCCCTGCCCGTCGGCGTGGGGCACGTGGGGCACGTGGGCCGCAGGCAGTAAGGAGTGTGTATATTACCTGTGATCCGGTGCCCCAGCCCGCCGCAGTAGGAGCAGCCCTGCCCGTCGGCCTGGGGCACGTGGGGCACGTGGGCCGCAGGCAGTAAGGAGTGTGTATATTACCTGTGATCCGGTGCCCCAGCCCGCCGCAGTAGGAGCAGCCCTGCCCGTCGGCGTGGGGCACGTGGGGCACGTGGGCCGCAGGCAGTAAGGAGTGTGTATATTACCTGTGATCCGGTGCCCCAGCCCGCCGCAGTAGGAGCAGCCCTGCCCGTCGGCCTGGGGCACGTGGGGCACGTGGGCCGCAGGCAGTAAGGAGTGTGTATATTACCTGTGATCCGGTGCCCCAGCCCGCCGCAGTAGGAGCAGCCCTGCCCGTCGGCCTGGGGCACGTGGGGCACGTGGGCCGCAGGCAGTAAGGAGTGTGTATATTACCTGTGATCCGGTGCCCCAGCCCGCCGCAGTAGGAGCAGCCCTGCCCGTCGGCCTGGGGCACGTGGGGCACGTGGGCCGCAGGCAGTAAGGAGTGTGTATATTACCTGTGATCCGGTGCCCCAGCCCGCCGCAGTAGGAGCAGCCCTGCCCGTCGGCCTGGGGCACGTCGGGCTCCCCTATCATGTCCAGCAGGAACGACGGGACCTGAACGATGCAGATATCATTTCTTAACATAGATAGATAAGATATTGGTTTCTTAGGTTTTCACGCACATCACTCATTAAAAAAAAATGGGTGCGTGTACTTATGTAGGCGCGTGAGAAGTTATCCTTCTTTGGCATCGTTTAAAATTAGTTTTTAATTGCATGCAAATAATTAATTACAATAAATTAATAAAAAGTCTGGAAAAGGACTAAATAAATAATCAAAATTTTCAATTAAAATCGCTACTGAATATAATTTATTAGAACATATGTGATTTGCACTTGTATGAAACTCAAACACGTATTCCGAATATACAAACTAGAAACATGTGGATAAATATTATAAATATGAATACCTATAACTGTTACTTTATTACAAAAAATAAAGATGTGGTTTTTGGTTCTACTACACCAATGGTCAAGAGATGGCGCTGTAGTCTCCTGAATCGCGATTTGGTTCCGTTGTTCCAGATTAATAAATACTTTTTGTTACTTTATTACAAAAAATAAAGATGTGGTTTTTGGTTCTACTACACCAATGGTCAAGAGATGGCGCTGTAGTCTCCTGAATCGCGCTTTGGTTCCCTTGTTCCAGATTAATAAATACTTTTGATAGGCCTTCACAATGCAGTCGTTAGCACCCACAAAATAGAGATTCTATTTCTATTTTGTTGGTAGATTTTCTTAATGTGCGGTAAACACAGTGATGCGCGCGCATCTTAAAATTTCACTCTCATCATTTTTTCATAACGCGCCTAAAGAAGTATAACTTCAAAAAAAAACAGTCTTTCGAAGGTAGCTCGACAAATTAAATAAAAGTTTTATTCTGACGACGAAGCCTGTAAAGGCTACGAAACGTCAATAAATAAATAAAGTTTCGTACATTAACCCGTAAAAACTACTTTTATAGATAGATAAGACTTTATTCGCAACAACATGCACAGATACAAAATTGACAAGACAAATTTTACAATTAGATAAATCCTTTAAATCAGGCGATGTGAACGGGCGAAAACTCAGTTCTGACCTATATCAAGTTCTTAAAACATCGAGTTTTATTCAAAAGGACATGGTAAAATTTTGTATGAGCGACTGCCCTAAAATTGACTTCATGTCTGTTTGAAAAGGAAAATGTTCCGTTTTACTAAAATAAATGAACTATAAATGTATACTAAAAAATATTTCTGCCAGTATATCGAAATTAACAATATTAATTCAAAACTCCCAAAAACTATGACATATTTGGCCCTTATTTTTATTATAACAAATCACTGAAGGCCTAAAATAATAGATTTTATTATTCTGATCAGGCTTGAGAGATGGCTGTATGATAATTAATGCTTTGATTTTTGCAAATGAACAAAATAAAATTTCACAGATTTCATGTCAGGCCGACAACAACAAATTATTTGTATTTATTTTTACTTTTAAAAATGCTTTTTGTGAAGTGTTAATCACATAAATGTGAAGAAATATTCTAAGAAAATGCGAAATTGATGGCTTTGTAAATAATTGGCAACATCTTTCATCAAATGTAGTAAGGTAATCACATAGTAGGAGATCTCATAATTTTCAAGATTGTGACTTCATCAAAAGTTCCTGAGCCCTTTTTCATAGAAATTATAAACATTCAGCATTAAATATTACTAATTACAATATTTATACATTGCTGGGGCAGTCGCTCATACAAAACCATTACCATGTCCTTTCAATGTTGTAATACTAGAATTTCATAAGGTTGGCACATAATATTTCTGATGTAATATTTCAGGGTTGCCACCCACTACATCTCACCTTCTCAGTAGCCTCCGTCAGTAGATGCGTTAGATATAATTTTCAGGGTTGTCACCAACTATATTTCAGGGTTGTCACCAACTATATTTCAGGGTTGTCACCAACTATATTTCAGGGCTGTCACCAACTATATTTCAGGGTTGTCACCAACTATATTTCAGGGTTGTCACCAACTATATTTCAGGGTTGTCACCAACTATATTTCAGGGCTGTCACCAACTATATTTCAGGGTTGTCACCAACTATATTTCAGGGTTGTCACCAACTATATTTCAGGGTTGTCACCAACTATATGTCAGGGTTGTCACCAACTATATTTCAGGGTTGTCACCAACTATATTTCAGGGTTGTCACCAACTATATTTCAGGGTTTTCTCCAACTAAATTTCAGGGTTGTCACCAACTAAATTTCAGGGTTGTCACCAACTAAATTACAAAGTCATCACAACTTAAATTACAGGGCTATCGCGCTAATATTTCCTAGGGTTGTCACTCACCTTCTGGCCCGCCTCGGTAAGCAGATGCGCCAGGTCCCTCAGCACGCTGGTGTCGGCAGCCCTGCCCAGTAGGGTTGTCGCCACGCCCCCTGTATCGGCGCGCCCCGTACGACCGATACGATGAACGTAGTTTTCGATGTCTTCCGGCATATCGTAGTTAATTACGTGCTGGATGTTGGGGAAATCCAAGCCTGAGAAGAAATATAGGCATTGCTCGAATCTTCATGTTCACAAGGTCCTGTAACGTCCGTTGCGTTACAGCCTCCTTGTTTGGGTAAACTCTTTGATCATGTAATGCCTACGGCTGGCAGTTATATTAAAAAGGTAATGTCTAGATTTTTAAAGGTTTGAAATTGGGAATCTTCTGTCGTTTGATAGAAGGTTCCAGCAGATAAGACTTCAGGCGACTTTTTAGCGGGATCGGGAAGCGTCACTTTCGCAGTTTTGTTTTTCTTAAATAAAACCAGTTTATTACGGGTTAATGCACGAAACTTTATTTATTTATTGACGTTTCGTAGCCTTTACAGGCTACGTCGACAGAATCAAATTTTATTTAATTTTGTCGAGCTACCTTTGAAAGACTTTTATTGAGCGTTCGGTTATTTCATTGTTTTTCTTGTTAAAAATTGTGTTGTGGCGGATGTTAGTGTCTAATAATGGTGGATTATTAACCACTAAGTGTTCGGGAACATGCACAGGTGTCGGCAAGTGAAACAAAATAGCGGAAAGTGTCTTTCGACGTTCCCTCAACAAGTCCACGGGGAGGTTCCAGTAAATCCCCACACTTTTACTGAAACATGGGGAAAGGGGATTGACTTGACTGCCACTTACTTTGACTTGACTTATTACTTTGACCACGAGTGCTATAGTATTTGTATACCTACATTTAACACTTGACATTGGCATTTAGAAAAAAAAAAGACTTCAGGCACCAAACCATACGTTGATAGATTAAGCTCAATTATTATATTCGCCAGATTTCAAATAAAATAACATATAAAATCTAATTAGTTTTCATTTATAAAGTTACGCTCCCAGGGCCTACCCTTTCAGGGTAGATCGCCGCAGTACTGTGGCGGCGACACTGATCCCTCAATTTATTTATATAGGGTCGAACATCTAAGGCAGCAAATAATTCAAGAATTCGCTCGAGTAAATCCGAAAATCCCTTAAGATACCTCGTGCAAATATTTTATATGCGCATCGTCAATAATAAGATTAGCCAAATTCTGTTTTTTCGGCAAAATTAACTGATGTTTAGAATCGTACGGTAAAAGAGACTTATGTAATTGGTGTAATAAGAGACGCTTTACGAGCAAATGTGTTATAAAGATAATTATAATGTAAAGAAAAGTTTACTAGAAAAAAAATCCACGCGGACCAGGCAGCGGACGGGACTCGAACCCGCATCCTTCGCTATCCGGGCGAATGCACTGACCATTATGCTACCACGGCCCTATTAGCCGCGTCGAAATTTTTCCTAGGCTTAAGCTGCAAGGCAGCGCCATCGCTTCGCATTGTAGGTAACCCACAATGTCAAATGAATACTTTTTCAAGTATTAAACATTTGAAAGAAGAAATAGCAATTATAGTTATGATTTTATTTTACAATGCGAAGAGATGGCGCTGCCTTGCAGCTTAAGGCTAGGAAAAATTTCGACGCGGCTAATAGGGCCGTGGTAGCATAATGGTCAGTGCATTCGCCCGGATAGCGAAGGATGCGGGTTCGAGTCCCGTCCGCTGCCTGGTCCGCGTGGATTTTTTTCTAGTAAACTTTTCTTTACATTTAAACATCTAGCAGTTAAATGCTTAAAAAATAAATAAAATCATAGATAATTATAATATTGGACCATTCTAAAGAGCTTGCTGTTATAAATTAACATATCTATATGCTCCACAAACAGGGTTAATTTTAAAACACCAACATCCTCTTAGAAATCCTGACGATTCTAGCCATCAACAGGACCAACTTTTATTATGGGACCAACGCTGCAATCGCGAAATAAAAATAAGCTGTTTCATACATTGGGGCTGTTCAAGTATTACGTAAGCACTATAGGGGGGCAGGGGGGTCTTTGCTTTGCTTATTTTTGATGACATGGGGGGGTGGGGGTCGAGATGGTGATTACGTCAGCATCATGGATTAAGCCTTTTTAAGTACTGCTGCTCATGAAGTTCATGAAAGCTCATGAATCAATAAAAAAAACAGAACACATTAAAGGAAAAATGCATATAGGTACCAATGTTTACGTAAGGATGGGGGGGAGGGGTAAGAGCTTTGCTTACTTTTGCTGACGAGGGGGAGGAGGGGGTAAATAATTGTAATAAATCTGCTTACGTAATACTTGAACGGCCCCATTCCAGTCGATTAGCTGATGTACTTTTGTATGAAACAGCAGATTTTTTTTCGCGATTTCAGCTTTGGTCCCATAATAAAAGTTGGTCCTGTTGATGGCTAGAATCACCCCCTAAGAGGTTGTTGGTGTTTTAAAATTAACCCTGTATATTTAACGGATGGAGGAAATTATCACTAGCCTCCTCAAGAGATGGCGCTGGCAACGCTGCGATCAATACGTATGGGAGCCTACATCGCGCAAGTGAAATTCGGATGCTAACACTCCATATATATATATATATATACAACGCTCGACTAATATCAGACCCGCCCCCCCGACACAGAGAGGTTCGATTCCGCTCTGTCCCCTCCCGTTCCAAGTGCATATCTGAGTGCACTTGTCCTCTAAGCGCATTTTGCGTTATTGAAGTTATACTTTTTTAGGCGCGTTATGAAAAAATTATGAGAGTGAAATTTTAAGATGCGCGCGCATCACTGTAACACAAAATTTTAACAGCATAAAGTTGGTCGCTTTAGCGACCAATTTCATGCGTTACTTTTGTGTTTACCGCACATTAAGAAAATCTACCAACAAAATAGAAATAGAATCTCTATTTAGTGGGTGCTAACGACTGCATTGTGAAGGCCTATCAAAAGTATTTATTAATCTGGAACAACGGAACCAAAGCGCGATTCAGGAGACTACAGCGCCATCTCTTGACCATTGGTGTAGTAGAACCAAAAACCACATCTTTATTTTTTGTAATAAAGTAACAGTTATAGGTATTCATATTTATAATATATATCCACATGTTTCTAGTTTGTATATTCGGAATACGTGTTTGAGTTTCATACAAGTGCAAATCACATATTATGTTCTAATAAATTATATTCAGTAGCGATTTTAATTGAATATTTTGATTATTTATTTATTTTTTCAAATTAAAACTGAACTTTATTGACTGTGTCCTTTTCCAGACTTTTTATTAATTTATTGTAATTAATTATTTGCATGCAATTAAAAACACCCTTTAATCATGCTTATGGCCAGAAGGGCCTTAAAAGCTTCATCTGAAGCGATCATACCCCGAGAGGGGGATGATGCGGCGCTGCGTTAGTTTAAACTAGTGCATAGTTTAAACTAACGCAGCGCCGCATCATCCCCCTCTCGGGGTATGATCGCTTCAGATGAAGCTTTTAAGGCCCTTCTGGCCATAAGCATGATTAAAGGGTGTTTTTTAGTCAGTAAGAGTCTGACATAACCCTGCAGCCGGCTGTAGGGATCCATGAGGATTTCTCACCCTCTCCCCCGCCTGGGAGGAAACAAAAAAAAAAAAAAACTAATATCAGACGGGCCGCGACCCCCAAGCAGTGTTGCCAGGTCTCCAGATTTTACAGGAGATCTCTTGTTTTTCTGAAATTTCTCCTGTTCTAAAGTTTTCCTACATGAATCTCCTGTTTTGTTTAGAGAGAAGACGATTTTCTTTGTGAAATTGCATGTTGAGTTGCATTTTCTGCCATGTACCTACCTTAATAATAGGGGTGATGACGGTGTACAATAAACGAAATTCTATTTAGTCCGTCAGTTAGATAATCAAAAAATAATGGACATGTACTTTTTCTTTGGGCCAAATCAACCAAAAAATGACAAAGTTATAGCGCGTCAGAGTTTGGGAGTAGGGGCTCGTGACGTCACTGTTTAGTGAATTTTCACTTAAAAGTGTACTCAAACGTGACGTCATGCGACTTTTCAAATGAATATATCTCTGCAATGTTTATATTATGTGAAAAAAGAAAAAATACGTGTTCAACACTTTTTGATAATCTACCTGATAAACGAAGAAAAAAAAATTAGTCATCATCCCTGTTATAAAATGGTTGTCAGTCAGTCACATTCGTTGCTGGTCCTTATCTTGATTTGATTTAACCAATTCTATAGAGGGGGGGGGGACTTGCAAATTGGAAAAAGTATTATTATACTCTTTATTGCATCATATAGTTAAAACATATAGTAAAATACATAGTAAGCAAAGGTGGGCTTATCTCTAAAAGAGATCTCTTCCAGCCAACCTAGGTGGTGTCGGAGATTCACAACTTAGCGGGAAAAAGAAAGTGCAATAAAAATGAAACTAAAAATAATTTATTACTACTATTATAGGAAATAGACTTAATAAATAATAGTTATATATATATTTATACGATACACATTCCATATACAGATACATATACCTACATAAATAAACTTGCATAAATATACATAGATAAATACAATACCTATCCAAATATACATAACATACATATAAACCTGATAAATAAATACTAATAAGAAACAAGATACTTCGTGAGAATGATTCATTAAGTTTGAGATTTCTGTTTGAGAAAATGATCTTTAACTTTAGACTTAAACGAGAAGATGGTCGGACACTCCTGAATATTGGACGGAAGTTTATTCCACAGTTGTGCAGCCCTAAAAGAAAAGGAATTCAAATAGGAGATGGTATTACTTTTGCAGTACGCCTCTGCATCTACTGTTTTTCTTGTAGATCTTTCCCTACATCTACTGTTTGTTTCTATAACGCCTCCCGATTTTTAAAAATCGATCCTGGCAACACTGCCCCCAAGCTACCATCACCCAGCTCGGAGGAAGATCTTCCTACAGTACTACTATAGTGTATGAAAAACAAAGTAAGTACCAATTGTTGGCAGCAGTATTTGATATGAACATTAGCAGCGATTTTACTATTCTGAGAAAATTGTAAAAATATAATTAACTAGCTGTGCCGTGTGTGCGCGGTTTATAAGGGATATTTTCCCGCAGTAAAACGTAACCTATGTGATCCAGATTGTCAGCTAACTCCATACCAAATTTTATTAAGATCGCTCCAGCCGTTTAGACGTGAAGAAGTAATAAACATACACACACACTAACTTTCGCCTTTATAATATGAGTGTGATATGATATATCTATTGAAATCTTTCATTTATATTCAGAGCCACACATCCAACGAAGACATGGGAATATGCGTCCTAAATTTATGTCAATAAGACTCACCTTTGCTAGCTACATCAGTGGCTACCAGTACATCCTTCTCTCCTCTCCTGAAGGCTTCCACGGCTCTGGACCTCTCCTCCTGGTCTTTACCACCGTGGATGGCAACTGCTTCCACACCTGTAAATAGATAAATGAATGTAGTTTAAATGAAATGGTCATTGAAAGAAATTCAACACTTACATTTCTGAAATGAAACATCTTTTCAGACGGGGTGTAAATGGAAAATTTTATGGAAGGGATGAAACTGAAATGTGTCCCGTCCAACGACTATATACAGGGCGTCCCACTGCTACCATCACACGGAGGGAAAGTATATTAAATATTAAAGATAGGATATTTTACTGAAAGAAGACATCATTTTATTTTTAATAATAACTAGAACTGCATTCACAGATTTTTTTAAAATCGCCTGCTACAACTGGGAATCAAACTCGTGAAATTTCGAAAAAAAATCCACGACATATTTTATGATAACCATCGAAAGGGTTAATCATAAGGATTTTTTTTTGCTAAATAACATAGCATTTTAAATGAAAGGAAAGTCATTGAATTTATCCTTACGTGGTGAATGTTTGTAATAATACGCCATAGGGGTTGGTGGTAGAAGGGTGAAAATTTAGGGTTGTATGAATTTTTGTATGATGTATCACAAAAAAATAAAACAAAAACATTTCTCCAAAGAAAAAAAAATTAAGGGTGAACCACCCTTAACATTTAGGGGGATGAAAATAGATGTTGTCCGATTTTCAGACCTACTGAATATGGATATAAAATTTCACAAAAATCAATCGAGCCGTTTCGAAGTAGTTCAATTACATATATATTATTATATATTAAAATAGGATATTTTACTGAAAGAAGACATCGTTTTATTTTTAATAATAATTAGATCACAGATATTTACAAAAATCGCCTTCCACAACCGGAGATCAAACTCGTGAAATGCGAAACAAAAAAAAACCTGTACATTATGATAAACGTCGTCGTCTTGTTCCATACACAATAAAGATTTATTATGATTATTATGAAGAATTTATCATAAGTATATTTTTTTCCTAAATAACATAGCATTTTAAATGTAAGCAAGATGATGAAATAAAAATTTTGTTCAGAAAAAAATCTCTTGGACTTTTTGGCGGGATCGGGAAGCGTCACTTTAGCAGTTTTGTTTTTCTTGTTAAAAATTGAGTTGTGGCGGATGTTAGTGTCTAATAATGGTGGATTATTAACCACTAAGTGTTCGGGAACATGCACAAGTGTTGGCAAGTGAAACAAAATAGTGGAAAGTGTCTTTCGACGTTCCCTTAACAAGTCCACGGAGAGGTTCCAGTAAATCCCCACACATTTACTGAAACACAGGGAAAGGGGGATTGACTTGACTGCCACTTACTTTGAGTTGATATAATACTTTGACCACGAGTGCTATAGAATTTGTTAACATTTTTAACACTTGACATTGGCTAAATGCACAAGCCGTGCGAAGCCATTGAGGAAAAAAAACACTTTCCATTGACTTTTCCGTGCTAATAACAACAATATCATTTCTAAGTTCTAGGCACGATTTTATTAATGTGTTCAGTATAAATTTATAGAATTATATATCTTTCTGGAGTATTCAGAACAAATGCTTTAACAAGCTCATTAATTGATAAGTTAGATTATCCCCATAAAAAATAATTTATTTATTTATTTATTTTAGGACCACCAGGGAAAGTTACATTAAATCTTATTTTTAAACATTATAGTGATACATACAAAATGCAAAATTCTATTGAAGGTAGCCACATCATGCTTAAGAGGCAGTACGAACGGATGAATTTTAATTAAATAAACAAACAGAAACACAAACCGAAACCACATGTAAACAATGAAGTTTATGAACTATTAGTGGCTTTGAAACTATAGATAATAGAAAACGAATATATATAATTACTCGATATAACAAATTTAACGACAAAAATAAAAATAAATGCCAACTATGAATGCCTACGCATCTCTTAATAACTCTGAAACTTTAGTCCTGAAACGTAGAAAAGAGTCATGGAAGATATCAACACTCTCACTTATCTTGTTGTAAGCTTCGGGCAAGCGATATGATGCAGAGTGTGTTAATATATTTGTGCGAGCGATTGGTTTGCTGAATGTTGGTACAGGATAGCGTGGTGGTTTACGGGGAACTCTAATATTTATCTTACTGAGAAATTGTGGGCAATCAACTACATTTCTGACAACTTTAAATAAAAATGTGATGTCCAAAATATTTCTCCTAGTGAGACTGTCCATATTAAAATACTGAAGTCTTTGGCTGTAGTTGGTAGATTTTGTATTCAGCCTACTACCGAATGTGAGATGTCTAGTAAAGCGTTTCTGAATGCGTTCAATACGAAGCTGATGTATACTGTACTGAGGAGACCAAATAACTGAACAGTACTCTAAGGTGCTTCTAACAAAGCTGTTATAAATCAAAACCTTTGTTGAGGGATTTCTGAATACTTTGACATTTCTCATAATGAATCCTAGAGTTTTTGAGGCTCGAGTAATAATGTTATCTATATGTGGAGTAAATGTTAATTTAGAATCTATTATTACACCCAGATCTCGAATAGTATTTACCTCCTCTAACACAGCATCACTTACTTTATATTGTGACTCAAAATTGTGAGACTTGCGGGATAACTTTATATGATAACATTTATTAATATTGAGAGACATTTCATTTATCTTGCACCATTCCACTAAGCTATCAATGTCCGATTGTAGGAGTTTAGCGTCCTCATCACAGTGAATAACTTTTATTAGTTTGAGATCATCTGCATATAAAAAAACATCACTGTGCTTAATTACATCTACAACGTCATTAATGAAAACATTGAAAAATAATGGTCCTATATGAGAACCCTGAGGTATACCTTAAAAGAAATTATAAGAAAAAATACATTAAAGAATATTATCGTTGTAGATGCGAATGTCCATATTTTTAAATTAATTTAGCCGGTGTAATTAATGTGAAAGAAAATTTCAGTTGTGTAACTTTAGTGAAAAACGAAATTAATAACTTCTCTTAAATATGCTGCGGTAACGTTTCTTGTTCGGCATTATAATATAATTCTGCAGGATAATATTTTTTTTTCTCTAACTTTTGTAGCTCGCACTCTACGCCAAAACATCCGTCTCGTACACCCATACTGGTTCACAGGTAGAAAATATGCCTATGGCATTAACTCCGCCATTTACTGTATTTTTGTAATAAACAATAAACAAGTAAATAGGGAAGATGCATATATAATATTTATGAAAATTTTATGATTCAAATGTTAAAAAAATATAAAAGAAATGCCACTGCAACGTTTTTATTTTACATAATGTTGTTTTTTAACAATTATTACGAATTAAAAATACTAGAAACGGAACGTATTTTAAAACACCAATCAGCGTTCAGTGACGTCACTCCTGTTATGACAACTTCTTTGAGGTTATGGTTGTTAAAGTAAATATTATTTTATGGGAATATTTATTGCGTTTTTTACATTTAATAAAAATGGAAGTTGCGTTTACCAAAGCAGACTCCAGGAATTTACCAAGAGTTAGCGTTGACATGGTTATAACTTTTTTTGTCCAAAGTGCAGAGTTTTTAAGTGTAGAAATGAAAGGGACTAAATTACTACGGTATGTAAAAATCGTAGTTGTTAAACTTCGTATTTTATTCAGCGGCTTCTACAAATCTTACGGCGATAATGCAATCGGCTATGTCTAAATTAAAAGTGATGGAAAATTATGTACAGTAAAAGGTCGAGTTCTCCGGAGCATAAAGTACGTAAAGAAGGTTATCGTGTTACAGTTATTTTAAATGAAACGCAAAGCTTGCTTCAGTCCTGCCAATGTGAAGATTGTGCCACACATTTTAAACTTTATCTAATTTTCGACGTCATTCTCCAACTGTAAAATTAAAAATATGTTATAGACAGGTTTTGTAAGTATTAGGTAGGTTACTAATGCGTTTTTACGTACAAGCAGATTAATTAAGCATATAACAAGTATATTCGCCGACTTACGTCAAAGTGATCTTCTCAGCATCGAATAATGGTCTTTGGAGAATAATTTTCATTTCTCTTCGCAGCTTGAAACCACTTTTTTCAGTTTTGGGTTAGAAGTTCCAGTCAAAAACAATTCATTTGGGAACTTTGTTGAAGTAGATTGGCACAAAACATGAGTCAACGGCTTTTTTTCGGAATATTAGTGGTATTGTTATGATCGCATGATGTTGATGGATAGTCCATTTTAAATTTTTCAAAAAAATATTTCGAAAGTCGAAAAAATATGCAAAAGTATGAAAATTTAAAGCCAGCAACGAACAATTACGACCAGTGACAGACAGGAGTGACGTCATCGCAACCATAGGTTCGTTTTCGCGCGAAAATTTAAATTGTCAATTTAAAATCGCATTTTTTCCGATAAATCTCAATGTTTTAATTTTTTGATATATCTGTGGTTTATTCTACATGGAATACTTTAAAATGAAAACAAAAATAAAAATATTGCATCTTCCCTATTATGGCGTGTCTCAAATCTAGGGGTGGTAGACCGATAAGGGTACATCACATCACTTACCTTTAAGCAGCAAGTACTCATGTATGGCGTCCACATCTTGTTTTCTTTCAGCGAACACCAGAACAGGTGGTGGTGTCTTCTGTAGACATTGTAGGAGATGGACGGTGCGAGCTTCAGCCTTGAAGAAAATAAAATAACATTTGAAGCTGTAGACAACGATATTAAATACCCTAGATACAACACGAGCGCTCAAAATGTGTCCCAATCAGGAAGTGCTTGAACTGCACTCAAGCACTTTTTGGTTCACAGTCACGCGCGGACCGTCGAAAAGTCAAGATGCCGCAGAGCTCTGTGAAAAAATGCGAAATAAATACTTATAGTACGTAAACCGTCGTTTTTTCAACAGATATTTAATCAGTGTTTGTTAATTTGACGCATTTGAAGCAAATTTTCTGTTCTAATATTTACTGTAAACTGATTTAATATAAAATATTTCTGATATTCAAATTCATGTTTCAGACTCCAAAAATCAAGAGGTTAATTTCTGGGTTGTAGTATTGCATTGTTTAACAAAGTTCCCCAAGATCTGATTGAGCTTCCACTAAGCAAATTTAAATCTCAGATCAAGAATTCTCTTATGAATAAGGTCTATTATAAAGTTAATGATTATCTAAAAGATCGTAATGCATGGACATAGTGTTTCTTGTAATTTGTTATTTGATGGGTATAAGTCAGTTTTTGTAACAGTAATATGGTACCTATCTAATGCCGCTTCCTATATACTAAATATAAAATTATTATTGTAACTGTATATATCTATATCCGAAATGATGTTAATGGAAGGTGACTTTAGAAGTATCTCTTAAGTCATTTTTCAACTTCACGACTCTGTATATATCAATACAGGGAGAAAAAAGCAGCCCTTGCTTCTTGCCGGTTCTTCTAAGTACAAGGTCTTCCGCCGTAGTTTTGCGAACCGATGGCGTACCTTCACAAGTGCTTGTAACAGCCTAGACTGAATAAATGACTTTTAATTTCATTTCATATTCGGTTGTACGTCTCCGTATAGCTGTCTCTTTTCCTCGCGGTCCGTACCCACTGTAGTGCTAACAGCACATTTAGAATGGCGAGTAGAAGTAAAAGAAATAAGGTATATATTCTTCCGCATATAGCAATAAGTCGTAAAATTTCTCCTTCCTTCGCTTCCATTTCGGACTGTCATAAGTCTTTGACGCATGCGTTTTAATTAAGACCTTATACAGTACGCGTTAAAGGTGACTTTCAATGTTTAAATAATGCCTTATTTTGTTTTTGACTACGCGATCATCTTACGGAGCTCCGCGAATCGTCCAATGTACCTACTGGACAGGTTTCGGCCACGATTTTGTTCGTGTTGGTGTATCTAGGGTATTTAATAACGTTGGCTGTAGACCTTTATGGTCTACTCACTTAACATTTTACATTTTAATAAAATCACTTTATTTTAATAAAACTACTACTTTAACCGAAACTTTATATTTTAAAACTAACATAAACATAACAACAACGAAAAATATTTAATGTCTCGCAAATTAAACAGAATCTATACCACGGAGTATGGTTATACAAATTACTAAGTGAATATAGTGCGATTCAAATAAGTTTAGGAAAGCCAATGACCTCTATCTGTCAAATGTAGCTTGAAAAGTACGGTTTGCAAAATAATCTTGGAACCCTTTTTTAGAACTCCGCTAATTCTAGAATAAAAATCAAACATTTGTAAACAAACAATAACAAATATTGATAATTAATATCGGTAGATATTTAAAGAAGGCAGTGCGCGCCAACATTTTTTTCTCTCTTTCTCTTATAGCTAGTAAATGAAATATGTGTATGTACATACATTTATATACTGTACACATACACACATTAGCCTTCTAAGTAACGTTGGAGCTAAATAAGTTTAACTTCAGTCGTGTGGTCATAAATAAGCATACTATTTCAGAATCTTTAATAGAGAGAAAAAAAATCGTTACAATTCAAAACTTAGCAGTTAAATTGCTTAAAAGAATAAAAATATAATCTTTAATAGAGGTTTTAAACCATGGGTAAAAGTTGTTAGACACTATTGGTTTGAGTGTGAGAAATATTTATTTATTTATACTAGCAAACCAGTGAACCAAATGTTCACCAATTAAAAAAATAAATAAAAAAAAATGTATTTAATTAATTGAGAACTTCGGAGATTTTGTGTGGTTTCGTTTGAAATTCGTGATTTCTCGAAAACCGGAAGTGCTACGTTACTCAAATCCGGTTTGTAGTCTTATCAGACTATTCTTAACTTATAACTTAAACATTCTCTTTATCTATCTCTTACGGTTTGGCCGCTGAAACAGCACCACAGACGGACGGACGGACGGACGGACGGACGGACGGACTTGTCTAATAGATAAGAGATAGTACCTTCACGGGCTCCAACTCTTGTCGCACGTTGAGTGAGGCGGCGCCAGCGCGACCCACGTTCACTGTCACGGGCATTACGAGTGCTGACCTGCAGGGGTGGCAGAGCGAGCAGGGAGCACATTTATTTTAAATAAAATTATACTTTCTTTAAATTCACTAAGGCCGAGTTGTTTTACTGATAGTAAAATCTGACTTTAGTTAATGCCACGTCAAATACATAGTAAATGTGAAAATTTTTGACAAATGGTTATTTTTTTCTATATGATTTAAGTCGAATTTAACTATCGATTAAATAACCCGTTCTTATTAGACCGAGTGTACACCACCGACTGATGAGAAAAAGAGTGAACGAGAGAATGATAGAACGAACGAAGAAATGAATGAGTGAATGAACGAATTCATTACATTATAGAATACAAAAAAAAACAAAGACAGATAAAGACACGATGGCGTAGCTTCTCGACCAACACAATTCACTGTGACCTATGGGGGTGGCAAAGTGAGTGGGGCACATCATATTTGTTCACATATCTTTATATATATAATTCTTCTGTGAGTGTGTATGTCACTGAACTTCTCTTAAACGACTGGACCGATTTTGATGAAATTTTTTGTGTGTGTTCAAGGGGATCGTTAGATATTGTCATAACATTTGAATAATAATTTTCATCAAAATGGTCCAGAATGTTTTGGCTTATTAAAAGTTTGAAATTTTCAAATTAAAGACGTGTAGACAGGACAACGTCTGTCGGGTCCGCTAGTATGTATATACGCAGTTAAAGGGTCAATATGTGATTTAATGAAAATTCAAGACATAAACGACTTGATTGTTGTTTTAAAAAAAATGCACATGTGATGATCTATAATAGTGAAATTGCATGTTTTTATATTATTCATAATAAGTTTACAAATTTCCCAAAGTTTAAAATGACAAATATATTTTACTAAACATAAAATCAACAAATACATTATTTATTTATTTGACGACCTCCTTGGCCGAGTGGTTCGTATGCCGGGTTTCATGGTGTCGCCGACTCGAGAGGGTTCGAATACCGGTGGGGACAGTGACAATGTTTAATATGTATTTCTATATAAATATACTTATATATGTATTCTAACCGCTACCCTAGTATCCCATAACACAAGCCTAACAGTGCTTACTTTGGGGCTAGGCTAATTGGTGTGTTGTAAAAAAAAAAATTTTGTTATTTTAAAATTAAATAAATAACTTAATTTGGTCCTTTATCATTACATTATTCCTCTATCTTTTTCAAGGTTTGTTATTTTTAAATCGATCACACTAACCTTGCAAAGTTCTGTATCTTCCTAGGCATGGTAGCGCTGAACAGCAAAGTCTGCCGTTGGCCGGCGAAGTAAGAGAATATAGTTCTCACGTCCTCTTCGAAACCCATGTCGATCATACGATCCGCTTCGTCCATGCATAGATAGCGGCAGACGTTTAAACGCACCTGATTGTGGAGTTTGTACTTGATTTAGCGATGAATGAATGAGTAAAAGAACGAATGAGTATACGCTAACTTAATATAAATAGATTACGCGTCACTTTGTTTGTCCGAGATGGACTACTAAATAGTATTTGATTTAGCGATGAATGAATGAGTAAAAGAATGAATGATGAATGAGTATACGCTATCTTAATATATATATATATATACATTACGCGTCACTTTATTTGTTCGGGATGGACTACTAAATAGTACTTGATTTAGTGATGAATGAATGAGTAAAAGAACGAATGAGTATACGCTAACTTAATATATATATAAAAATGATGTGGTGTCGTGGGACACCAGGTAGGAACGAAGTTCCTTCGGCCAATGTAGAATCGACACAAATTGCAAAAAAAATCGTGCTCAATTTTATGTAGGTTTTCTTGATTTTTCTCTTAAATTTTGCTGATCAGTTTTTATTTAAGTACAAGAAAGTATTTAGGAAATTCAGTATTTTAGGAAATAATAAATTACTTAAAATAAAAAAAAACATCGTAATTCAAATTATCAACTAGAATAACAAAATATGTCTCTTTATTTTTGTTTGACAACATAAAATTACATAGAAATAGAAATAAAAATAATTAAAAAAAAAAGTTTATTAATATTATTATTATAAGTAATTTATTACTAACTTATTAATCAGTCTCGTCATCAAATTCTATTGCTGAAACTATTGCGACTGTCGCGCCTGCGCACGTCTCATTTATTCCACGCACTTTTTTCTTACGGTTTTACTATCACATTTTTTTCAGTTCGGTCGCGCAGCAAAATCCTTATCCCCTCCAAGCCTGCCGTAAGGAACTTCGTTCCAATAATTTAATTCGGTATATATATAATACAATACAATAACTCTTTATTGTACAACACACAAAAAAATTAAAACATTAATTACAAAACCATCTAGTGCACGTGATTCAATGGGCGGCCTTATCGCTTAAAGCGATCTCTTCCAGGCAAACTTTATATATATATACTTCAGAACACATCTATCAGCTAAATTACTGTTACAAATTTCAACGGTCTGTAGCAAAAATGTTTTTTTTATAATTGAGCGATAATTTTAAAAACATACGAAAAGATGGTTTCTATATCAGCTTCAAAACTACCTTACTTATTACTATTACTACGTTACAGGGCTTGTAACCGGTTTCGAAAATACCGGTAAATAAAAGTTAATACCGGTTTTTAGTAAAGGTTTCGTTCAAAGCGTGTCCGAAATGAAAGCGGTACCTAAAATCCTAATAAACCGGTTTAATCCAGAGCGACACGTACATGCGTCGGCATCGCTTGAAGTTTGTTTTGTTTGAACTAATCAAGTCACAACTTGTTAATGCTCAGAGATTGATGCATTTATTGACACGTTTTCTAGTGTCTAGTGAGTCAAGTTATTCATTTTGTACTTGTGTACCGAAACTCTACTTCACTCACTCGCTCTGTAGTTAGAAAGAAACTGACATAAAATCGTTTGAATTGAAACGGCGAAGGCGATGCCGTCAGTAAGAGCGAAATGAAACCCTTTAAAAACCGCTAAATTGATTTAAAACCTATTTGATTTCGGTTTTTAGGAAAACCGGTTTTTTTAAGGTTAAGGTAGAGCGAAAACCTAAATAAAACGCTCCTAATGTACTTAATACTGATTTAGGTTTAAAAATTAACCGGTAAACAAGCCCTGCTACGTTATTTATTAAAAAAAAAACGGCAATACGAAAGGGTGCATTGGTAAAATCCTTTCATTGTCCGTCTTGTGAGTACGAAACCCTAAATAGGAGAGCTTCTCACCATTTTCTTGTCCAGCATATCCATAAGTCTGCCCGGAGTGGCCACCATTATATGGACCCCTCTTTGTACGACTTCCATACATTCGGACACGGCGACACCTACAAACAATAATAATACGAAGAATCTAAAGAAAATGTAACTAGAAAAAAATTTCACGCGGACCAGGCAGCAGATGGGACTCGAACCCACACCCTTCGCAATCCGGGCGAATGCACTGACCAATTATGCTACCGCGGCCCTGACGGTCGCGTCGACGTCGCGGGACAAACTCAAAAAGTACTGCATGGATTTACTTCTTTGGCATGAATATTATTAAGAAGCCGGGTCAACATACAGGCTACATATTATCACGCTATCACCTACGGGGAACGAGCAGTGAACCTTTATTTCTAATTAACTCCACGCGTACGAAGTCGCGGGTGGCCGCTAGTAAATAATAAATACCTCCTATGGCCAGACAACTCCTTAGTTCCGGGGCGCCGCTCATCTTCAAATGTTTGACGAAATGTTGGATGATGTCATGGGTCTGTTTGGCCAACTCGCGGGAAGGGCATATTATAAGGCCGTTCGTTATAGTACTTGTACATATTTAACTTAAAAAAACTAAAGACCCCCGGGATGGAATTTGATGCGCTTTGGCACATATGATCTTCACTATAATACCTTTCAAACAAATGTAGTTTAAGCCGTGGCGGACGTGGGTGCAGCGTCCATACATTTTTGCCCAATGTCCTTTGGCATGAATATTATTAAGAAGCCGGGTCAACATATAGGCTACATATTATCAAGCTATCACCTACGGGGAACGAGCAGTGAACCTTTATTTCTAACTAACTCCACTTCTAGTAAATAATAAATACCTCCAATGGCCAGACAACTCCTTAGTTCCGGAGCGCCGCTCATCTTCAAATGTTTGACGAAATGTTGGATGATGTCATGGGTCTGTTTGGCCAACTCGCGGGAAGGGCATATTATAAGGCCGTAAGGACCTTCGTTCCTACAACAAAGAAGGAGAAATTAAATAGATATTATATTCGCCCATACATTGGAAAACTAACAAGCTCAGATTAAAACAAAAAAATGGTGTTAGGAACCTAAATATGATTTTTGATTATCTAGACAGTGATACCCCACTCGACATATTTTGTCAACTTTTTTTTTTACTTCGTCACAATATGGTGGCTAATTTTGCCCATATTGAATTTTGATTACTATTATATCTTTAGTAGCACTCCCATGATTGAGACGAATCGAATGAATGATGTATGAATCATCAAAATCGGTCCAGGCGTTTGGACTCTAGTGTGCCACAAAGGAACAAACATACATATATAGACTGTTAAACACAATACCCTGTCTGCGCGTCGGTCGCGCTTCGCGCTCTTGCATTGCGCAGCCGTGTAAAAAGGGAAGATATGGCACTCGCGGCTTAAAAGTGATCCGCTTAAATTGTGGTGCATGAACACAATTCGCTTTAGTCACAATAAGGTATTTGACAGTGTTAAAAATAAAGTGCCAATTGTTGGCATCTGTATTTAGAATGAATATAGGCAGGGGTTTTTGCTATTTTTACAAAAAAAAAATTCACAATTTTACTAAAAACTAACGAAAAAGATAATAGTTTTCTTATCTATTGTCACGTGACTCAAAACGCTTGGGATTGGCGGAGCCTAAAATGACGTCACACTCAAGTAAACTTCCGGTTACAGTGACATTACATTCTATCGTTTGACGTTTTAATAACAGTCGTGTGACGTCACACACTAGTATGGCGCCATATTGTCCAGAGAAACGTTTTCGCGGCAATTTGAAAATGGAGCTTTTTATTTGGTTATTTTTACTGAAATACACAACAGAATGATGAATATCCATTTTTTACGGACTCCATAGACATTAATCAAGAACGTGAGATCGCTTTCTAAAACTTGTCAAATCATAATCATAATCAAAATCATTTATTCAGTTTAGGCTGTTACAAGCACATATGAATGTCTAGAAGCTACGCCATCGGTTCGTAAATCTACGGCGGGAGACCTTGTACTGAGAAGAACCGGCAAGAAACTCAGCAAGGGCTGTATTTTTCTCCCTGTTTTATCATTTACAGAGTCGTCAAGTTGAAAAATGACTTCAGAGATGATTCATGAAGTCACCCTTCATTACATAATGTGAAATTATACATTAATTGTTCACCTGCATTTTGATTGCTGTGTCACACAGTATAAATACAAACAGAGTTATTTATAATAGGTGTAATTAAACATTTACATCTTAAATATCAAAGTAGTTAGGGCAGACTCATCTCCCTCTCAAATACCCTATTGGACATTCAAACACGCTGCATGTGCACTCAATATAACAATATTGCGTATATTCTGTGTTATAAAGATAAAATGCCTTCGATGCTTTTATAACACAAATAGATCAAGATCAAACAACAAATGCCACAGCAACACTTTTCATTCGTAAAACTATAAAAACATTTTTTTCTCAGAAATCACGGTTTGCCATGAATCTTAGTTACTGATTCGCCATTTTTTATCAAGAAAAAGACAAAGATATAACTCAGCCGTCTGTAGAGAGAAATGAAAACGCAGTCGGCTGTAAAGCGACGCGGACTCGGGCCGTTTCACTCGCGCTGCGTTGAAGCGTACAATTCTGTCTCGCTCGCTCGATTGAATGTTTATATACGGAAGTGTGCGTGAGTGACAGTTGCTTATGAGTTATAAAGTTGAATCGGATCATATTTTATTTGATGCTCGTATGAGTGTGTAAATTGACATATTTGTTTCTTAGGTTTTCAAGCACATCACTCATTAAATAAAACTAATGTTAACGGGTTAATGCACGAAACTTTATTTATTTATTGACGTTTCGCAGCCTTTTCAGGTCTGCATCGTCAGAATAATGATTTTTTATTTACTTTGTCGAGCTAGATTGACTTTTATTGAGGGTTCGGATATTTCATTGGAAGATTTTTAAAATTTTATTGTCTATGTATGAATTTACTAGCTAATTAAGTTAATAAAGTACTTTTTTTTTTGTAATTTTGAGTTATTTATTTGACCCTAACTACCGTAAACTACATTTACTCATTGACAGCTGAAATCTAAAAATTACACTTGTTCTACACAAATACTTAACATACATTGTGATAAGTTCGGTTGCAACAGCGATGCAAATGGACGAAAATTCAGCGTATTATTTAGTTACAGAGTCAACGCTCTTCTTCTTCTTCTTCCTTTAAGAGCTCCTCTTCCAGTTCTTGCATATATAAATAAGATGCGGTTACTATAAACGCACTAACCTAATGTAGGTCATCTTGATTTGATTGATCATCATCAGCCTATTAATGTCCCCACTGTTGGGACACAGGCCTTCCCTATGGAAAGAATAGGGAGATTGGGCCATGACCGACCACGAGGGACCAGTGCGGATTGGCGGGTGCGAACGACTGCAGATGCAGCCGGGACCAACGGCTTATCGTGCCTTCTGAAGGAAGAATTTTGGTCACCCATCCAATGAGCGACCACTGCGAAAGTTGTAGCAATATAATTTCATAATATTAAGTTATAGTAATATTATTCATCAAAGCGCCATCTATCACCATACGTATTCATCATCGAATAATGTAATCTGTTTTAAAGAAGCACGGAATAAATTCTGAATGAAAAAGTCCGTTCCGTCATTCCCCAGCACCAAATAAGGTGATTTGAGAGAAATTTGCTAGCGGACACACGTGACCCTATGCCCATATAAATAGCTTTGCGCAGACGGTTTCATTCTCTTTTGTCTGCTAACCGAACTCTGGAACATCTAGTAAATTGCACAGTGACTGGCAGTTATAGTCAGTGCATAATTAATTAATATATTTTCCCCGGATTAACGGGTAAGTCCAATATATCTAACTAGCTAGGTTGTAGGTCAATTTAGGTTTTTTACATTGAACTATAGGAAATGTGTGTAATTGTTTCTAGGTCCTTTGAGGAGGCTAATTAAAAACAGTTTACGAAAATTTCAATTAATTAATCCTGCTTGGAATTTCTTTGGATATATATATATATATATATATATATATATATATATATATATATATATAAATGAGCCTGTGAATGCAATCTTGATCGAAAACGAGTACATGTGATGACAGCAGGTTTTGTTACAACCCACGTGGATACCTGAATCGCTTGATGGTACCAAGATCTTGAAAGCTAAGTAGACTCTGAATATATTTAATCTTTAACCAGTGCATTCTCCGAAGTACGAAATTTCTGATTGTTAGAACATAATAAAGGATTTGTAATAGTAAACTGTAAATTCATTAATGTAAGTAGCTTGATATTTGCTAAACAAATTGTTTCTTTAGAATCTTAACATAAATATATTTTTATGTACGATACTTGCTGAAACAAATTGTTTCCTTAGAATATTAACATAAATATATCTGTATGTACACATGTTTTGACGGTATGTTCGTCACTTATAATCAATACTTGAATTTATAAAAGCCATCTTCAAAGATATCTGTTATCTGTAAAAATTGTATCACTGTATGTTGAAAATTTCATCTGAATAGTGAAAATATAAAAGGTCTTATTCACTGCGGTTATTGATTTTTTATTTTGTCTCCCTCAAATATCAGTATTACGACGCCCTGATTATAGATTAATTAATTTCGAGTCTCATACAAAGCCCTGTGTTTAGTCGGTGATAACAAAAATTGTTACAAAGTTGCTTAACTTCAACGATCGCAGTCGAAAGCGCTTATCACCTGCGCCATCGAGCTCTTCGTCTCTTGACTTAGTGAAAGGAACCTTTGTCTCCAGCTCTAGACATAAAGATGAATAATACGACGAAATATAATGCGATTCAAATAAAAATAGGAAAGCCAATGACCTCCATCTGTCAGATGTCGCTTGAAAAGTACGGTTTGGAAAAAAATCTCGAAACACTTTTAAGCACTCAGCTGATTCTAGAATAAAAACCAAACATTTTTAAACAAACAATAACAAATGTTGATAATTAATATTATTTGTTTTTTTTTCACTTATTGAGTATTGGCTATGAATGGTTGATAACCTAAATCGTCAACCAAATGTCACTTTATGTTGCGTTCAGAAACTCGATTTACATATAGAGAAAACTTTCGTTTACATATAGGATGCATGTTCGTATGTGACCTGCATGATTATTCATAACTTCTCCGGCGGTAAAGCAGAGATGAGCGAAATTGAAGAGCTAGATTCTGATTAATGTTTTTTTTCACACAGTCTTAATCAAGAAATACTATTAAAAATCGGTTGTGTTCTTTCTGAACCTTAGTAAATTAATTTTATTAAAAAATCTGATGTTTTGTCTCACTTAATCTTAGTAAATAAGTTTTATTAAAAAGCTAAATTTTTTTGCTCGCTCTACCTATTCGGTTTGAATTGACAGGTATGACGTCAAAATATGGCGCCCAGTCGGTCCTATCCTTAGTTGAATCGCATTATACGACAGATATCACTCACCTAATAAAAGGCATCTTGGTTTCCTGTTCCAGACAAAACATCAGCAGGGGTAAAGTGAAGACCAACGTCTTCCCTGACCCGGTGAAGGCTATACCGATCATGTCCCGCCCGCCCAGAACTGCTGGCATGCCTTGAACTTGGATCGGAGTTGGTTGTTTAATGCCCTTAGCTTCCAGACCTCTCAAGATACCTGAACAATGAAACGACTTATTTTGAAGAAATTTTTTTCCTGCATCAACCGTTTTTGGGCGGACATACTAAACTATTATAGGTGTGTTACTGAGAAATCTTTGTTTCTTAGGTTTTCACTCAAGCACTTCTTGGTTCACAGTCACGCGCGGACCGTTACAAAGTCAAGATGCCACAGAGCTCCGCGAAAAAATGCGAAAATAATACTTAGAGTACGAAAAGTGTCGTTTTTTCGACAGGTATCTAGTCAATGTTTGTTAATTTAACGCATTTGAAGTAAATTTTGATCTAATACTTACTATAAACTGATTTAATATAAAATATTTGTTATATTCAAACTTAGATTAAAACAAAAAGGGTAGATACGGCACTAGCCACAAAAGTGATCCGCATGAATTGTGGTCCACGACCCTAATCGCTTTAGTCACAACTTGACATGCAAACGACGTACATGTGAACGCCAAAAAGAAATATTGATAATATTTTGTGTTTATATGATAAAACAATGCCTAAGTGTGTTTTTAAAAAGTGCTCAAATTGCTCAAGAACTAAAAATAAAACCCACGGCATCACTTTTCATTCGTAAGTACTATAAAATATATTTTTTCATAAAAATTGCTGTTTGTTTTGAATCTTATTCGATAGTAACGTCGAGTACTGGTCGCGTGATTGGTCGGTAGTGCAGTGGCGCGGATCTCGCCGTCTCGTTCGCGCTGCCGTTGAAACTTAACGTGCTGTTTCGTTCGGGTCGGTAATGCAGTGACGCGGATCTCGCCGTCCCGTTCGCGCTGCCGTGGGATCAGTTTTTGTTTGATGCAAGTATGAGCGTACCGTATCTACCCTTTTTGTTTTAATGTAAGTATTCAAATGCATGGTCGGTTATACGTCGCCATATAGCCGTCTCTTTTCCTCGCGGTCGGTGCCCGCTGTATTGCTAACAGCACGTTCAGAATTGCGCGTAGAGTCAAAGAACTAAGGTCTAAATTCTTCCGCATATAGCAATAAGTCATAAAATTTTACGAGCTTGCATTTCGAACTGTCAGAAGTTCTTGACGCATGCGTTTTATTTAAGACCTTACTATTTACCTTACCTTACTTAATTTAACATACCTTTAGGGAACTTCATGTGCTGGAACGTCTTAATAGGCGGCGGAACATCCTCCCCCTCCACTAATATTCGCAGTTCCTGTCTCACTCTCTCATGTCTTTCCTCCGGTAAGTCTAGTATGCAGCGCGGCGGACGCCACGAGGTCTTTATAGGGTCTTCGTATTGAATACCTGAGTAAAAATATGATTTTCTTATAGACATGGTCTAAAATGATGGAAAAAAGTTTACGTTCCGATTTTTTTAAATAATTATTCCAAGACTTTTACCATATTTAGAGTTACAACTTTGTTTGTCTTTAATGGATATTAATCATTCCTCAATCATCATCATCTTTTTCATGTAAACCAGTATGAATTACTATATTTGTAGAAATGCAGTTCTACAGACAGAATTCGGCAGTGTCGTATGAGGCGGGTTGTTACGTTCTCTAAAATATGGTTAAGCGAAGCGATTGCTGGTTCATGCGTCATGCTCGTGAACGGGTGCTGCCAGCGGAGATGAGTCTGCCCTAACTTCCTTGATATTGAAGATGTTAATGTTTAGTTACACTTAATATAAATAAAACTATTTGTATTTATACTGTATGACACAGAAATCAAAATGCAGGTAAACAATTTATGTGTATTTAATCATTATGTAATGAAAGGTGACTTCATGAATCATCTCTGAAGTCATTTTTCGATTTGACAACTCTGTCAATAATAAAACAGGGGGTAAAAAACAGCCCTTGCTGAGTTTCTTGCCGGTTCTTCTCAGTACAAGGTCTCCCTCCGTAGATTTTTGTATTTAGTAGTTTCTAGACATTCATGAGTGCTTGTAACAGCCTATACTGAATAAATGATTTTGATTATGATTATGACTACTATAAAGTTTTTTACACAAGAGTTTATGGTGAATAAATAATGTAATCATAAAGAAAATTTCATTTTTTCTACGCAGACCAGGCAGCTGACAGGACTCGAACCCGCATGTACTTATATGAAATATTAATGGTATCATTTACAATGTTTTTCTGCTCAAATCATTTTTATGTACTAAAATTTTCTTGTCAATATACTACTTGCCTTTAGCCAACTCTGCCACACCCATCAGCGCTTTACTCTGCGCCACACTCTCCAAGATGTGCTGCTCCTCGCGAGCCTGCCGCTCCGCAGCCGACAACGCCCTGGCTTCGGCCAGCCTCTTGAGCTCGCTGTGCTGGTCCAATAGAGATACGTTGTAACGACGACCCCATTCCTCTTGTGACGCTGTGGATGTATATTGGGTTAATCACTGATTATTTATAAATGTACTTCTTATCAGCTAAAAGATCACATGAATTTGTGGAAGAAAAAATGTATATTAGTTGATTTAGATCTGACGACCTCCGTGGCCGAGTGGTTTATACGCCAGGTTTCATGGCGTCGCCGACTCGAGAGGTCCCGGGTTCGAATCCCGGTGGGGGCAGATGTTTGTGTGATGAATACGAGCATTTGTACTCCAGTCATGGATGTTTAATATGTATTTCATAAAAATATACTTATATATGTACAATATATGTATTCTATCCGTTACCCTGGTATCCCCATAACACAAGCCTTTACAGTGCTTACTTTGGGGCTAGGCTGATTGGTGTGAGAGTTGGAAATATTTATTTATTATTTATTTATTATTTAAAGCAGCTTTCCTTAAAAGCAATTTGAATAAAGTGGTTATTCCACATTCTCATTTTTTTTATAGATAGGTCCGACAAGTGACTCCACCCCACCTGATATTAAGTGATGGTGAAGTCCAGACGTGAAGATAGCTGGTAGAGCAGTTCTACCTGCCACACCAGCCATGCTCACCTTGCCGGCCTGCATGTTGCTTCTTCACGCCTCTTTTAAAGGATCCCAGGTTGTAAGAACGAGGGAACACGTGAGCAGGCAGAGCATTCAATTTACGGATAGTACGACAAAGAAATGAGTCAGCAAATTTCTTTGTACACGTTGGAATTTGTGGGTCATTTACATGTCAAAACTGTATTGAACCGATTTTGATTAATTTCGGTGTGGTGATAGAGCGAAACTTAATACGAAACATTGACTAGAATTAAACCCGATCTAAAACTGAAGCGACAGACTATGGTATTTGGTTTTAACCAAGTCTCCAGTCCACATTTTGTACTTAGGAAGGTTGTATTCATGGAATAATGACAAAGTACTAACTTTCATCATCCGGGTCGTTGTCACTGGAGCTCTTCTGTTCTGCGGATGCCTCAGCGGCCAACTGGCCCAGTCTCCCTAGCTTCAACAACTTTTGTTTCTTCCTTTCTTTAACAGGAACATAGGGTTCGTAATTATCTACGTCTTCTTCGGATTCCGAAGATTTCTCCTCTCTTCTATATCGCTTCACCGGTGGCTGAGGACCGTCTTCATTATTTGACATTGTTTATTTGTTTAAAAGCAATAAAAACGACTCGAAAAATTAAACAAACTGCACGTAAATACCAATAAACACATCAACTTTTTTTAATCTACATTATTGAAAAAAGTACTTTAACCCTATAGTAATAGAGCTAATTATTGGATGCCGTTATTTGACAATTCGAGCAGCATGTTTTTGACGTTTGAAAAGCGTTCGGTTCCACGCATGATGGTAATTCACATTAAAGACTATTATGACCTAAAATTTAATCAATATTTTATAATCAATAAATAAACGCCAAAAATTTAACAAAAATATAATGAAATAACATTTTTTAGGTTTCTGTTTAGTTGGTACTAGTTTTACAAATATGTAGAATAGCGGTATAACAGGGGCTTCAGTGTTTTCTGTGCGTGGAATGAACTTACCTTTTAGTTAAACTACCTTTTATAAAAATTGCGAAAGGAAGAAATCAAAATAAATAAACAACAATTTCTACAAAGATTTCATAAATTAATCTGTAATATTGTAAGCAAATGATTAAAACCTTATTGAATAATTTAATCGGAATCACATTTTTTTTAAAGGTCTCTTTGTAAACTATTATGGAACTGTCAAACATGTCATTAAAAAATTGTCAAAATATGCAAGTGACACGTAACTTCATTTAATTAAATTTATTTTTTGTGACCTCCAAATGTGTAAATTCGCGAAAATTTGTGTCTCCGCCGGGTAATTATTGCACTACAAAATGTCTGATAAAAGTTTTGGTGACCATCTGAACAGGAACATAGTGAAAAATCCCCTATTATCAACCGCTGTGACTGGTCTTTCCATAGAAGATTTGACACACAACGCTGTTTTGCTGCCCGCTGCTCCAAGCCAGGAGCTGACCACGAGCCACGGTGAGTACAACTCTTTATTTTTAACACGAGCGTAGACTTTAGAAGCGCCGACACGACCTTGGAGCCAAAAACAAGTCGAAATATACACGGTCGGATTCGCGTGCGTTATGTCAATATTTGAATTCTCGCTGAGATTTTTCGCGATAAATCTCTTTGTTCGTCTTCCGAAGTGACTGACAATCAAGTACTGTACATAAACAATGCAATGAGTGGCAAATTTGCGGAAATTACGTTTGTTTTATTGTGAAAAAAGTGAAGTGTTACAATGTCATCTTTCCTGTACAAATCTTACAGAGCTCCATCGCCGTACCATAACGGGATGATACCGAGCTTATATTATTCTGCTCATTCGAGATACAAAAAAGTTGGGAGTTACATCTACTACCCAATTTTTGTAAGTGTTTATTTTGGGTCACTTAAAGAAAGTCTTTAAAGAAATATTTAGCTTATATTTTCATGTTGATTTCAAACTTTAAGCTAATGCTATATGTGAAAGTAGGCAGCCTACCCATTCATAGAGACTACACATAACCTTCTCTATGAACAGTAGCCACTGACTAGATCACTGACAATGTAAAGAAATTGCTTTTGTTTATACTTGCAATTATATATTTTATCTAAAATAAAGCAATCTTTCCTAAATGTACTCCAGCCAATTTATTTATTACTCAAGACTATAGTTAATACTAATTGCAACCATGGTTTAAGATTTGTTTGATTGAAAAGCATTTTTCCCTATGCAAATATAGTTTATTTACTTACCATATCACAAGCTCAATTCTTGACTAAATATTTGTTATGACTAGTTCAGAAATTAAATTTATCCAAGAATGTGTATTCTACTACCTACTCATATTTAACTATGTTTTATAGAGGAGCTTGAAGGCACAAGTGGCTAGCGTGTTCGGCTGCGATCGTTGAAGTTAATCAACTTTCGAAGTGATCAGTCATTGGATGAGTGACCAAAAATTTACCATATCGAGCTCTTTCGTGCTTCGGAATGCACGTTAAGCCGTTAGTCCCTGCTGCATCTGCAGTTGTTATCACCCACCAATCTGCACTGGGCCTGCTCGGTGGGTCACGGCCCAATCTCCCTATTCCATCCATAGGGAAGGCATGTGCCCCAGCGGTGAGGGCGTTAATAGGCTGATGATGATGTTTTATAACTTTTAAACAATGAGGAATATGCTTTGCCATAGTTGATACTTATGCTGAATTTCGTTCTTCCTTCTAAAACCCAGATCTTGAATTGATCTAGAGATATTAATTATCATTAAGTGTGAGTAGCACCACAGAGCCAGTTAGTTAAATTTTACAATAACTTTAATGGGCCCTGAATATCACTGCCAATTTTTTTTTTGACTATAGTTAAATGTTGCAATTAATTTTTGTACCAACCGATGAGTAAATCTTGCTTCGATGGTTTTCCCAATGTTAATAAAATTACTTATTCTTGTCAACTGCATAATTTGCTGCACAGTGGTAAAAGTTTTTGCTTATATCAACAAATATCAATAATGTCTTCACAACATCTATGGGCGAGTGGAATGTACACCATCCAGTATACAAAAGAAGGTGTCGCTTACTTTAGAGATCCCGGGTTTGAAAACCCGGTTGTGGCAAATCTTGTTGTGATGAATACAAGAATTTGTACCCCAGTCATGGATGTTTAATATGTGTTTCTATAAAACCATACTTATATATGTATCAGTATATGTATTCTATCCGTTACCCTAGTATCCCATAACACAAGCATGCAGTGCTCACTTTGGGGCTTGGCTAATTTGTGTGAGTGTTGGAAATATTTATTTATAATTTTATTTATCAACACCTTTACCTTAACAGATACTTATCATTGTCAGCCTATTAATGTCTCCATTGCTGGAGCTTGGCCTTTACCTATTAATGGAATTAGGGAGACAGGGCCGTGAACCTGGGCTTAGTGCAGATTTTTGTGTTTCTGCAGATACAGGACCTTATTATTATTGCTTAACATGATTTCTGAAGCACAGAGAATCTTGAGATAATGAATTTTTGCCCACCCATCTTCTGACCGGCCATTGCAAAAGTTGCCTAACTTTCATGATCACAGACCAACCACGCTAACTGCTATGCCAATCAAGGTAGGTAGTAGTGAAGAGTTATTTAATAGCAGAGTGGCATTTTATGATTAAGAGATATTTTGAAGCACCTCCTGTGCGCCACTGTCACTTATGCAAAAAATATTGTTTTCAGGATGAGCGTTTAAAACTTTAACATCCCAAAACATACAATATTTAAAGATTTTTACGTGATGAAAAGCTTATACAGCTTAGCTATTCATCTAAAAAAAATTAAAAAAAAAGCTTTAAATATTGTATGTTTTGAGATGTTAAAGTTTTAAACGCTTCTCCTGAAAAAATGATTTTTTTACATAAGTGACAGTGTCGCACCGGAGGTGTGATATATACATTTTGTTGTCTGACTTAATGACATTGCAGAATGTGTAATACTATTAAAACAATATCATAAGATGAATCTTTAAAGCTTTTTAGGATAGAATAAAAACAAACATAGGGAATAAATATAATATTATTGTTTTCAAAAGTTGTTACAAAATATATGGCGCATATTTCATCACTTTTAAATAGTACAATATAGAAAACTTATTTTATTACCCGTTTGATAATTAAAAAAGGTTTTATAAAAATAATTTTAATAATAAATGTGCAAATGCACATACTATAATAATTTATTGTACTTTATCTTAAACATAATTATGTAATTGCGACTATACTTTAAGAGTAACAATTGCATACTATCAAAAATGCTTTTATTACCGTTTTAAGATGGTATATATATAAATTAAATATATATTCTCTCAATATCAAAATCCATAAAAAAGCTATTCTTGCTTTGACCTTTAAAATATAAAAAAAAACCTAATTTTCATAAAATTTTGTTTTATTTGTTCAATATATCATGATGAGTCAACTGCAAATCAACTATGCTTGATTTTTTAATATACCAGTACAAAAGGCGTGTCATTGATTTACTAAGTTTAACAACACTCATTTATAAGGTAATAAAAGGCAAAATATAAAATGCTAATAGCCTTAGCTTTTTAACTAAAACTTACACTACTTATTCTAAGGTAACTTAATATGGAACGTGTTTGTAATTTTTTTTTACATTAAAGCAAATTTTAATTGAATTTTGTCATTTCTTAGCCAAATGGAAGTGTTAATTAATTTGATGATAAGCTTTAACATAAATATTTAATAGAAACAGGCCTGGGGCCTATTTTGCCAAGTCGACATATGTCACTGACAAATGTCTTAAAAATGACTTGCATTTTGTTATGTCTGTATCTTACTTCAATTATTAACAATTACGTTGTGGAACAAGGATAATTTCTTTAAGTCGAAATAATTGACAAATTATCGGTAATTCTTGACATGAGATCGGGGGCTGTTTATTTTTTGTGACAATTGTGGTGCTTTCGTTGTTAGATACAAAAAGATGAGAATACAAAAAAAACCAGGAGATTTATAAAGAACGAATAAATTTCTCCTTGGATATCACTGATTTCGCGTTCAAAGAAAAATTACGCATAATCAGAATCAGTATCGAACATTTAATCAATGAAACAGCTGCAGCAAATGGTTACATAATTTGTCAGTGACATATGTCGACTTGGTGAAATAGGGCCCTGGGGCCCAATTCTCGCGGCGTAGATATTATATCGGCTTCGAGATAATATCGAAAGTAGGGATATCTATTGAAAATATCTACTGATGGTAAAAAATGCTATTCTCGTGGATTTTCGATATTCCAATGATATTATATCTAGCGTAGATATTCTTTCACTGCCGAATGCGTTCCGTTTTTCTCGATTAAGTTAACATCATAGTCTATATAAAATAATAATAAATTAGAGCAGAATTTTACAAGCAACAAAATGATATTTTATGAACTCCATTCATATTAAATATGAGTATACATTTTTTGAGTATAAGAAATCTCAACTTTACCTAAATTGTATGCGTATATAATTTCAACGTTATGTATAATGAAACGTCAATATTATTTAAGATTCTCCCTTTTCAGGGAAGGCAAGGGTAACAATGCCCATAAAGCCTAGTCTTTAGTTATATTAATCTTCTTTTTTTTACACTCGAATGTCGGTGTGACGCATTCTAATGTTTCTTGGAGTGTTTGGCACGAAATTAATGGAGTTGGCTTTTTCTCTAAGCTTCTGTGAGGTAGTCAACACTACAATAAAGTTCTCGCGTCCACTTGACCGGAATAGTGTATATTTTAAAGATTCCACTAATTCTTCAGTTGCGCAGACGGTTGTAACACCAAATCACACCAATTTTATTTCACAATATCCACTATGAACGAATTTTAGAATAATTAAAATAAGATGCCAACCGCACTCGCAGAAATCCCGCCAAAACTCCGTATCGTCAATAAGAAAATGGTGTCGATTCTGGCATGATTCTCTAAACCTAAACGTAAATTTGACAACAGTGTATCCTTGTCATTCTCCATACAGAATGAAAAGGCGAGACTGATGTTAAATTTAGTTTTAAGTTTAGAGAATCGTGTCAGAACCGATACCAATGTCATTCACAACTTTAAAGATTTCTAACCAAATTTTTGTTTAAACGTAATTTTTTTATGAAGTCGGCGTCCCTCATTTCAAATGGGCCCTCTTGCTCTCACAACGGCGGCGCCTTAGCACAGCAGCAGCAATCACGTCATTTATTAAATCATTGACGAAAACATGAATCAATTCATCCATCGTTAATATAAACTGGTGTCGATTCTGGCACGATTCTTTAAATCTAAACTTAAACTTGACAACAGTGTTTCCTTGTCATTCTCTATACAGAATGAAAAAGAGAGACTGATGTTAAATTTAGTTTTAAGTTTAGAGAATCACGCCAGAATCGACACCATCGTTTACCTACTTCTTTATTTACTAATTATTTATGAAGACAGTTAACAACATCTCGAGGTAACAATAATTGGCAAAGACACACGACAACACAATAAATAATAGGTAAAAAATGGTTGCCTGTAAAGTCGGTTTTACGGGCGAAGATTTTACGTGACAACGTCTTTTTCTCAGTAGAATATTTATTGATATGAATATAATTAAATTGCACAATAGGAACAAGGAATTGAATGAAAATAAGAATTGCACAAATTTTAACTATAGAAATATATTTTGTTTACTAAAACATTGTACATGTAAACTTAAACTTAACACGAGAGACTCATCGTAACGTTACCGAGCGTTACACTTTTTCATAAGTGACTCCCAGCCGCAACCTAATTTAAGACGTTGTCACGTCAAAAAAGTGGAAATAACAAGATTGACATGCCAAGATCCATAGATATTTATATATCGAAGGCTCTTTACCAGTCGATGTATGTCTACTGATCATCCATAGATAAATATCTATTGCGACATGGTGAGAATAGGGCAAAAAGGTTTTCCTTCGATAAAAGCCAGATCATTCGATATATATCGAAGGTGATATAATATCTATGCCGCGAGAATTGGGCCCCTGGTAACACACTTCGTTGTCGACATATACTTAACACCACAAAATTGAAATTAGCATGAAGCACGCCTCCCGCCATTCTCGATAATAATCATCTAATCTTACGGCAACTGATTTGATTTTGATAACTCGTATCGCATATCGGGGACAAATTCTACGTGAAAATGCCTCTAAACGTAACATCAATGTGTGCATGACAGAAATGATGCTTTAATTTTGCTTAATTTACGAATCCATTTTGGTAGGGATCGCGAAACTTCCAATTTTTTTTAGTTAGTACTGTTATTTAGTGTTTCACCATAATTAGATCGAATATGTAATACGATATCAGTTGATTAGATTGTATCAGTTGTAAGTAGTTAACAGATTCCGTCAAGCACTTACATTTTGAATGTTACTGCCTATGATGGAAGTTGCCTTTTAATCTATAATTTGCGCTGATTTCTATGGCAAATTCGAAGGAATTCTAATTTTATGGTGGTGATAAAACTATCCCAATAGAAAGAGGCTCTGGGGCCCAATTCTCGCGGCATAGATATTATATCACCTTCGATATATATCGAATGATCTGCCTTTTATCGAAGGAAAACCTTTTTGCCCTATTCTCACCATGTCGCAATAGATATTTATCTACGGATGATCAGTAGACATACATCGACTGGTAAAGAGCCTTCGATATATAAATATCTATGGATCTTGGCATGTCAATCTTGTTATTTCCACTTTTTTTACCTATTATTTGTTGTGTTGTCGTGTGTCATTGCCAATTATTGTTACCTCCAGATGTTGTCAACTGCCTTCATAAATAATTAGGAAATAAAGAAGTAGGTAAACAATGGTGTCGATTCTGGCGTGATTCTCTAAACTTCTTCTTTTTCTTTTTTTTATGGCATGCACAGTTTGTGCGTTCAGCTTCTCTAAACTTAATCCTAAATTTAACATCAGTCTCTCTTTTTCATTCTGTATAGAGAATGACAAGGAAACACTGGTTGCTTTCCAATTACAGCATTATTGCGCATTATGCGGCATAATGCTTAACGTTGAGTGTTCCAACTACAGCAACGCTTCGCACAATTGAGCACTCTCAAAAGTGATGCTTTCGTGTGATACGTGCAATGGTACCAACTTAGAGAAAGAAAATTAACAAGTGTTTTTTCTTTAAGTTGGCATTGATGAAATGTTTTATTTATATGTTATCGTTAGTAATATTATTTATTGTTGAAAAATTATTAAAGCTTTCGTTTCATTAAATAGTTTTTTTTAAATAATCAAAGTTCATACTGTTAAAAAATAAATATAAGTATGGATGAAGGTACAAACATTGACTTTTTTTTTCAACACTGAACTTAGCGCACTCTGCTGGTGCATTTGAAAACTAATTCACGTTCCAATTAAGCATCAGCATAATTCAGCATTGTGCGGCACTGAGTCGCATTATGCTTTGTAATTGGAAAGCAACCACTGTTGTCAAGTTTAAGTTTAGATTTAGAGAATCGTGCCAGAATCGACACCAGTTTATATTAACGATGGATGAGTTGATTCATGTTTTCGTCAATGATTTAGTAAATGACGTGATTGCTGCTGCTGTGCTAAGGCGCCGCCGTTGTGAGAGCAAGAGGGCCCATTTGAAATGAGGGACGCCGACTTCATAAAAAAATTACGTTTAAACAAAAATTTGGTTATAAATCTATAAAGTTATGAATAACATTGGTATCGATTCTGACACGATTCTCTAAACTTAAAACTAAATTTAACATCAGTCTCTCCTTTTCATTCTGTATGGAGAATGACAAGGATACACTGTTGTCAAATTTACGTTTAGGTTTAGAGAATCATGCCAGAATCGACACCATTTTCTTATTGACGATACGGAGTTTTTGGCGGGATTTCTGCGAGTACGGTTGGCGTCTTATTTTAATTATTCTAAAATTCGTTCATAGTGGCTATTGTGAAATAAAATTGGTGTGATTTGGTGTTACAACCGTCTGCGCAACTGAAGAATTAGTGGAATCTTTAATATATACGCTATTCCGGTCAAGTGGACGCGAGAATTTTATTGTAGTGTTGACTACCTCACAGAAGCTTAGAGAAAAAGCCAACTCCATAAATTTCGTGTCAAACACTCCAAGAAACATTAGAATGCGTCACACCGACATTCTAATGTAAAAAAAGAAGATTAATATAACTAAAGACTAGGCTGTATGGGCATTGTTTCCTTTGCCTTCCCTAAAAAGGGAGAATCTTAAATAATATTGACGTTTCATTATACATAACGTTGAAATTATACACGCATACAATTTAGGTAAAGTTGAGATTTCTTATACTCAAAAAATGTATACTCGTATTTAATATGAATGGAATTCATAAAATATCATTTTGTTGCTTGTAAAATTCTGCTCTAATTTATTATTATTTTATATAGACTATGATGTTAACTTAATCGAGAAAAACGGAACGCATTCGGCAGTGACAGAATATCTACGATAGATATAATATCATTGGAATATCGAAAATCCACGAGAATAGCATTTTTTACCATCAGTAGATATTTTCAATAGATATCCCTCCTTTCGATATTATCTCGAAGCCGATATAATATCTACGCCGCGAGAATTGGGCCCCTGGTTACATAAACCTTAAGCCGTTTCGTTTACAATGTTTTATTTACTTAACAATTTCTCTTAAAATACATAATTTGAAAACCGCCCATTTCTGAAATACAAATGATATGATACCGTATTTGTCCTCAACAAATATTGTTTTCTTATTTTATTATATGTTTTGGAAGCTTTTAAAAATAACATCAAAACCATATTTCGGTATAATTATCTTTATACATATGGGACTTTTTTTGTCGCTGTACTGAAGTGTTTTCACAAGATTTTTTGTTTGTTCTGGAACTGTTCTTGATTAACTGCTTCTTCATCTTTTAGTTTCTAGAAGATGTGGCATACGAAGGTAGCTCTCTGGATTCCCTTCGTCTTCTTACGCAAAAGGCTATCGCAAATACCAGGAGAGCTATAAGCCCTATGGCCAATATTACCCCAAGGACGATAGCGGCTATTCCAGCTCCAGATATATAACCTGAAACAAGGTCGAAAATTGTATTGTTGTCTTATAATAAAACTAGCGGCCCGCCCTCGCTTCGCTTCGGTGTAGAGCTGAAGTGTAGACTACAGTTTTTGTTTTCAGGCTTGTATTATACACAATGACATTCATCTATGATTCTTCTTATACCTGCATGCAAAGTCTCAGCCCGATCGGTTTAAAATTGACAAAGTTTCATACAAACTTTCATTCCCTGATCAAAATCCTTTCTTAGCGGATGCCTACATCATAACATCTACCTGCATGCCAAATTTCAGCCCGATCCGTCCAGTGGTTTAGGCTGCGCGTTGATAGATCACTATGTCAGTCAGTCACCTTTGTGTTTTATATATAAAGACTAGCGATTTGCCCCGACTTTGCACGGGTGTCCTTCATTTTAACTGGATAAAATATAGCCTACTATGTCACTCAGGTATAATGTAGCATTCTAATGGTGAAAGAGTTTTTGAAATCGGTCCTTATTTTTTGAGTTTCCGCCACTACTACCAGATTTATTCTGACGAGACGTAGCTGTTGAAGTCATTTTTATCCTCATCCTCACGATTTATAAACCTCTACAAAATAAAAAGTCGTACCCACGTTCTAGGCTAAAGTTTCTCTAGACAAGAATCTCATAGGAAATTACCAGATAAATATTTCCCCTTTTTATATCTTCTTATATATATAAAATTCTCGTATCACAATGTTAGTTACCATACTCCTCCGAAAGGGCCTGACCGATTTTTATGGAATTTTATATGCTTATTTTCGTTGGTCTAAGAATCGGCTATTTTTCATATCCTAAAGGTGTAATGGTTGTCGACCTGTAACGTAGTGTTCTGAAACCTACAATGCGCCTTCGCGACAAAATTCAAACTATTTATATTTTAACGTAGTGTTCTCATATGGGTTAGGAGGAATTTTATGCCAGGAAATTGATGGAACACTACGTTACAAAGCCCTAATTTTTTTTGGACAATTTTTTTTATAATGTATTAAAAAATACATACAACCTTAAATTTTCTCTTCTACCACCTGCCCCTATTTTTATGGCGGTACGAAGTTCGCTGGGTCAGCTAGTAGCTATATAAATCCCTCATAATGTAACTTAACCGATATATCAACAACGTACCTATTGGCGTTCCCCATATTTGGGTAGACTTACCCTTTATTTTGGGGAGAATTCCTCCTTATTTTGGGGAGACTTACCTCATATTTAAGGGACTTTAATAGTGCATTTAAGTAGTCTTTTCTTCAGTAGAGTTGCACCTCCCAAGATTCCCTTCTGTAAATGTAACTTACCAAATATGTAACTTACCCGATATTTATAAACAACGTAGCTTTTGGCGTTTCCCCACCGCATCGACAGCAGTAACGATAAACAGTAATAAAGTGCCAGTACGAAACCGCTATCATATATATAACCAATTACCATAATGTATCTAGATGAAGAATCTTTCTCTCCATTTCTAGCAGTAACGATAAACAGTAATAAAGTGCCAGTACGAAACCGCTATCTTAAATAATAACCAATTACCATAATGTATCTAGATGAAGAATCTATCTCTCCATTTCTATCTCTCTCTGTCTAGACGATTAACTAAGGTAGAACTAGGTAGGTATTTATCTAGAATTACTCACTTTCTCCATAATGTGCCAACGTTCTCTAGACAATGAAGTTGGTAGTTAGGGGGAAGTTCCCCATGTTTGGGAAGACACCCTTTATTTTGGGGAGACTTACCCCATATTTAAGGGACTTTAAGGCATCTGTCGTGTTCGGGCGTAGTTTTGCCACTACCTACCAAACCTGTAACTTACCTGATATATCAATAAAGTTAGCTATTGGCGTTCCCCACCGCATCGACAGCATTTACGATGATTAGTGGCGCGCAAGTGGCTCGATATATTCATATTACTGATTCCCCTTTTCATTAATTCAGAATGTTTCTAGAATTATGTACCCACATTCTCTAAAATATACCCACCTTCTCTAGACAATCATGTACCTAGTTTGGGAGTATTTCCCCATATTTAAGTGGAATTACCCCAAATTTTAGGGAGTCTTTCCGCATAATTTGGGAGTAATACCCACTGCATATTTTGCTGATAATTAACAATCTCATAGTACCTATCTAATATGAAACTTACCAGATATATCCACAACGTAGCTATTGGTATTCCCCAGCGCATCGACAGCATTAACGACGACCCGCGGCGCGCAGCAAGTGGCTCGATATATTCCTGTCACTTGTTCCCGAGTGCCCGATACGAAACTACTGTCATATATTAACCCTATAGGTGATGATGTTAGACGGAGTAAGCCTGAAAACATAATATAAGTTCAGACCTAAATAGGCTATAATAATAATAAATAAGGAATCAAATTTCTTAGAAATACAAAAAAAAAGTTATCGGACTAAAAGAGACACTTTATGTTAGACACTGGACGCCTGGAAACATAATAATTTAAGTTAAGACCAGAGGCCCAATCACGAATTTTTGACAGCGCCGCCGTATCGTCAAAATTTCTATAAAACCTAACTTTTAACAAAGATTGCCATATTGATAATTAAGCAGGATTGTTTGACAGCTTCGTAACATATCTTTACGAAGCTGTCAAACAAACCTCTGAAAAGGAAATCGGAAAGTGTTAAAGCTAGAAATATTTTGTGATTCTTAGAAACCTATATAATGTAAGCTCTACGCTTGAATAAATTCAAAAATCTCTTATAGCTAGATATTTTTTTTAGCTTCTTAAAAGCTATTGGGATAAAATAGATACTTTACATTAGATATTAAACATAGCTGTTAGTAACAAAATTATACAAACTTTCACATTTATAACTATTTTATGATGTTTCACAAATATATGATACTGATTCTTTTATTTTAACACGATAGAATGTATCTTTCTTAGTTTTTAATTATATTCGCTATAAACATACAATAGTATAAATCTTGCCTTTTCATAATGTTAAGTACAGATTTATTGTTAATACATAAATCGGACCACAAAATTATCATTGGAATATAGTCTTGAATAGTCTGGAATTTTAGATAATCCTTAGAAAGTATCCTACACTTGGTGACTCATTTCTTTGTCGTACTATTCTTAAGCTTAGATTAAAACATTTTGACGTGACAACGTCTTAAATTAGGTTGCGGCTGGGAGTCACTTATGAAAAAGTGTAACGCTCGGTAACGTTACGATGAGTCTCTCGTGTTAAGTTTAAGTTTACATGTACAATGTTTTAGTAAACAAAATATATTTCTATAGTTAAAATTTGTGCAATTCTTATTTTCATTCAATTCCTTGTTCCTATTGTGCAATTTAATTATATTCATATCAATAAATATTCTACTGAGAAAAAGACGTTGTCACGTAAAATCTTCGCCCGTAAAACCGACTTTACAGGCAACCATTTTTTTTTTTTGTTTTAATCTAAGTTCGTAAGTGGAATTCTTCGCCCGCGCACGTGTTCCTCCCTCCTTCCTACAATCTGGGGTCCTTAAAGAGAGGCGCGAAGAAGCAGTTTATAACTGCTGTACCAGCTATCTTCGCGTTTGGACTTTATCACCACTTAACATCAGGTGGGGTAGAGTCATTTGCCTACCTGGCTATAAAAAAAAATGGTAAAATTAAAGAGAAAAGTCCTTTACCTGATCCGGTATCTCTAGCAGAAATCGTAGCACTCCACACATGTTGGCTACAATCGTCTCCCGTCCTCCCAATACAGGAGCCTTGGAACTCGTGACGTAGTTCCGGCGACCAAGTGTCCACCGGCGTCTGCCCCGCGTTTATCACGTAAACGTACGCTGATATGGAGACTTGTTCCAAACCTATAGTGTTGAAATCGTTTATGTTGTAATTGTCTCACATTAGGTACCTACATTATCCCACCAAATCTCAAAATTTAGGGAGAATCGTCCGAGAGTTGGGGAAAATCTCGACATATTTGAGTGGGAAATCCTCCCGAGATTCACTATATGTGGGGAGAATTAATACACATTTTCTGAAAATCACCCTATATTGTGAGATTATTACCCCAAATTTGAGGGGAAACATTTTTAAATTTTGAGGAATATTACCCCACATTTACGGAAAATCACCCCTTAATTTGGAATGTTTACAACTTTAGGGAGAAACACCCTAGATTTTGGGGAGATTATCTCCTAATCTAACAGCAGCCTATTTCGCTTAGGTCTTTACAAACATTTGTGTATCGCCATAAATTACCCCCCTACGTCATCAACCGCAGCACCCCCCTACATGCTGGCTACAATCGTTTCATCCTCCCAATACAAAACCTTGAAAAATTTAACCACTATACTGTATGGCATCCTTCGTTCTATAAATATGCATTCTCAACTAAAATCATTACGGATCCTTATTATCTGGCCAGACGATGCTTTTTCAAGATAGTTAAGACGAAGAAAAACTTCACTTCACAGTCCTTATCATCATCATCAGCCTATTAATGTCCCCACTGCTGGGTCACAGGCCTCCACTATGGATGGAGTAGGGAGATTGGGCCATGACCCACCACGCGGGCCCAGTGGGGATTGGCGGGTGCTAACGACTGCAGTTGCAGCCGGGACCAATGGCTTAACGTGCTTTCCGAATTACGGAGGAACTCGAGATAGAAGATTTTTGGTCACCCATCCAATGACTGACAGATAAGCTTGTTGGTCATTGAAGTAAAGTTATTGTGATCTGTCCTTACTAAATGTCTCCTGTCAGAGCCCTTTTTCCCAGTGGGCACTTTGTGCAAGTGCCCAGGGCCCTGCGATCGATAGGGGCCCCCCCTCAGGTCAAATACAAAGTCCCTAGTTCCTGTTAAATCACCAAACGGGGGTCGTAAGGGCCCCATTATCCTAATATGCCCAGGGCCTCCAATAGGTCAAAGACGGCACTGTCTCCTGTGCAGTGTTATAACCGGACCTTACATGTTTTTTTCTTCTTCCCTTTTAAATTCAAAGACCAAAACGAGATGGATCTATAGTATTATTTACCTATAGTAAAAGATCAAAGAAATTAAAGATGTTTGATAAGAGAATCTGTTCCTCACCATATGCAGTGAATGTGATGAAATCTCTGGCTCCTGGTTGCGCAGAATTCGGTATTGTGACACTTACAATTACGTTTTCTGTCCTGCCTGAAGCTATTGTTCGTCTGGAAAGGAAATGTTTGTGTGAGACTAGCTCTCATCTAATAAGATTTCTAATGAGTATATGATTAATAAAATTCAAAACGATATCATAATTATTGTGCGAAGAAGAAGCGACATTTCTGTAAGCTATGTTTTGCAACATTTGTCCCGAGACATTTCCTGCTGGCACTTCACTTGGTTATGTGTATTTTAGCTTTTTTGACATGTTTGACAGATAAATCAACAAGTGTGGTTAGTTGATGACAAAACATTTGCTTTATTGACAAACTTCAACATAAATGACAAATTAGACAAGTGGTCGTCATATCGATAATCTGTCGTTTGCGCGGCTCCCGAACTAACATACCTAACCCAGTTCGGAGGAAGATCTTCCCGTTTGGCCTTCCTACAGTATTTTTATGTTATACACACTGGGCAACTATCGTTTGTATCAGACTGGGTTTATTAGATCTCACGGAGTATAGACTTAAAGGACATGGCTAAGAAACTGCCCTTAACGTGTATAAATATTTCGCACTAGCCCGTAACTTTACAATATTTTTTTTATTAATTATTACGTTTTTATTATTCTCATACAACTTTCGTGAAATAATCAAATATTTAAAAGTATAAAAATTGACTTCATGTCTGTTTCAAAAGCAAAATGTTCCGTTTTACAAAATAAATGAAGAATAAATGAACACAAAAAATATTTGTGTAAGTAAGTATATTGAAAATAACAATATTATTGCTAAACTCCTTTAAACTATGACATATTTGGCCCTAATTTTTATTATAACAAATCACTGAAGGCCTTAAATAATAGGTTTTATTATTCTGATCAGGCTTGAGACAAGGCTGTATGATAATTAATCCTTTAATTTTTGCAAATGGACAAAATAAAACTTCACAGATTTCCTGTCAGGCCGACGATAACAAATTATTTGTATTTATTTTTGCTTTAAAAAACTTTTTGTGAAGAGTTCTTCAGAGAAATGGAAAGAAAGATTCTAAGAAATTGATGACTCTGTCAATAATTGACATCACATTGAATAAACATCTTTTATCAACTGTAGCAAGGTAATGACATAGTCGGAGTTCTCATAATTTTCAAGATTGTGACTTTATCAAAAGTTCCTGAGCCTTTTTTCATAGAAATTTCAAATTTTCAGCCATTTACCATTACTACGTACAGTATTTATACATTGCCAGGGCAGTCACTCATACAAAACTTTACCATGTCCTTTGAATTTCCAGGAATCGCGGTTTCTTTTTCGTTAAAAACCATAATTGCCAACATCGCAACTAAAGTTAAAGTCATAACTCACTGCGTTGGACTGATGCCTGTCAGGAATCGCTGCTCGCCAACTGCTCCGAATCGGAAATTTACCGATTGCTCTCTGAAGTTTGTCACCTCGAAATGTAACTGTAAATGAAATGAAAAGTCATTTATTCAGTCTAGGCTGTTACAAGCACTTGTGAAGGTCAAGAAGCTACGCCATCGGTTCGCAAAACTACGGCGGGAGACCCTGTACTGAGAAGAACCGGCAAGAAACTCAGCAAGGGCTGCTTTTTTCTCTATGTATTGATATATACAGAGTCGTCAAGTTGAAAAATGACTTCAGAGATACTTCTGAAGTCACCTTCCTTAAACATTTGCAGATTGATTTGTTTTTTAGTTTTTGACGCTAATTCGCATCATCATCATCATTAGCCTGTTAATGTCTCCACTGCTGGGGCACAGGCTTTCCTTATGGATGGAATAGGGAGATTGGGCCATGACCCACCACGCGAGCCCAGTGCTGATTGGCGGGTGCCTCAACGGCTCAACGTGCCTTCCGAAGCACGGAGGAATTCGAGATAGAAAATTTTTGGTCACCCATCCAATGACCGACCACTGCAAAAGTTGCTTAACTTCAACGATCGCAGCCGAATGCGCTAAGGCTACTTACGCCATCGAGGTCCTCTATATGTTTATAGTTGAGCAATGATTTAATTAAAAAACATACGAAAAGATTGTTAATAAATCAACTTGCTCAAGGTAACACTCCTTTTTAGCTAGGGACCGTCAAAAACTATAAAATGCTATTGGGGACGATATATGTACAAATTAATTAATTTTTAAATGGTTCATTGAAAATTTGTTAATGTTGGAACGTTTTATAATTATGACTGTAGATCAACCTCCGTAGTATTAAGTTTAAAATTTTGACATTTGCATTATATTTTGGACAATTAAATTAATTTTTATAATATGTTATACAGGATTAAAAATTTGTAATATTGGAAAGTTTCATAATTATGACTGTAGATTCTATCTATTTAGTTTAGGATTATTGCAATACCCTAACCGGGTTCTTCTTTGGAATGATATCTTAATATATATAAATCTCGTGTCACAATGTTTGTCCTCAATGGACTCCTAAACCACTGAACCGATTATAATAAAATTCGCACACCATGTGCAGTTCGATCCAACTTGAGAGATAGGATAGTTTAAATCTCAAATTATAGTCGTAATTTTCATTTATTGCTAATTATTACTTTTGGGCGGTACGAAGTTCGCCGAGTCAGCTAGTATATATATATTTTGTAACAGCATGTAAACAACAAGAATGCAATAAATGAATATGAATATGTGTCCGAAAGTGTAGTTAAGATTACATTTGTTGAAGCAATCAAAGCTTTTAAATTTTTTTTGAAAAGACCTACATAACTTTCACAATCACAGACCGAACACTGATGCCCGAAACTATTTTATTAATTGATCGCCTCTTTTGCTTTTGCTTGATCAGACAATTTAGAATCTGTACCCTTAGTACGAGTTTTACAATTACGAAAACTATGATAGTTTTCGTGAGCTCGCACTCGTCGATTTTATTGTTTACGTTTGAATACAAACAAACAGTGTTTAAATTCTATCATTAAATCATTTGCGTCTTCTTAAATTTTAAGTATATTTGGTTACTTTTCACCAAAATGGACATAGAAACATAATTTACAATCACGAAAACTATGATAGTTTTCGTGAGCTCAAACTCGTACTAAGGGTACTGGAGCGTTCTCTGTTACTCTATCAACCCTCCAACATGGAACATGAACATGCCAATCCACACTGGGCCCGCGTGGTGATGTACGACACACTCGTCAAAACTGCATTTTCGTCAAGCGATGCAAAATTCTTATTTTTACTGTCTACTCGTCAAGTTCATGTTTCTGCATACTCGTCATAGCTGCACATTAGTCAAGTTCTTATTTCTGCATACTCGTCAAAGCTGCACATTAGTCAAAGCTTTGTAAATCGATGAATATACGTAGTTAAAATAAACCTAACCAGGTTAAAATCAATTTGATTTCAATTCCCCCGTTTCATTTCATAATTTCAATAAGAATTTTGCATCGCTTGACGAAAATGCAGTTTTGACGAGTGGTCGTACATCCGCGTGGTGGGTCACGGCCCAATCTCCCTATTACATCCATAGGGAAGGCCTGTGCCCCAGTAGCGAGGACATTAATAGGCTGATGATGATGGTGGTGATTGTTACATACCTGTAAGCTGTCCCTGGGTGCTCCGTATAATCTGGTGCTTAATCCTATCTGGACAGCAGTTAGGATGGCCCCTAACTGGTTTACTACCTGAAAAATAAAATGGTAATTTTTAATAACGAAAAAAAATGTCGGAAATACTTTTGGTCGTTATCCCGTATTCGGGTGCACTTAGGGTTACCATCCTTTCGGATTTGTCAAGACATGTCCGGACTTTTAGACTATATTCGCACTTTGTCCGGAATTTTTTAAAATTACTTTGGATATAGAAAGAAAGAAAGAAATAATTTATTGACCAACAAACAAAGCATAAATAAAACAAAAAACGGAATAAAGTCAACTAGGTCCCTGCCTCAGCACAATGCCACAACGACACTAAGGCCGCTGCAGCCCTGATATTCTGGCAGGGCCTAAGGTTGACGTGAATAAAAGAAGTCATAAAAACAAAAACACACAAACACGGATAAAAAGTACCACAAAGAATAAAAAAAAATAAAAATATGAAAAGGCTGTTGTTTTTTTCCTTTGCCTTAGCGCAAACAATAATAAAAACAACAATAACACAAAAAAAAACTGTAATAATCTCTAGTCTGTGGAAATTTGATTAATTGAGTACGAGCAACTTATTTAATTTATAGTAATAAAATCTCAATGAATAATAAATGTACATATTGCTTTAAACACCATACCATTGTAACTAAAGTGAGTAATGGTACCATTTTGTGACTAAAAAGTCCGGACTTTATTCGAAATGTTTGTATTTTTCTTAGTACTTTAGAAATTGCTAAATGGTTCCTAAAACCCTTGATGCACCAAAGACATTACTCGAATTCGGGCACCCGAAGCAATATTTATACGGGCTGGAAGACTGTGTCGGTTAAACAAAAGGAAATCTACAGAAAATCCGGGTGTACTCGACTCCATTCATTTACACTTATTCGTTTACCCGAATTCCATTTGCACACGTATTCGGGCTAACGGCCAAATGTAATTGAGTCTGTTCTGAAGTCACAGTCACTGTTGCCATACGGCAACATTGCTATTATATAACTGTAGGCGCTAAATATGATTTTTATAATGCACTAGCGACCCGCCCTCGAGCTAGAGCTGAAGTGTAGACTACAGTTTTTGTTCTCAGGCTTGTATTATATACAATGACATTCATCTATGATTCTTCTTATACCTGCATGCAAAAAGTCTCAGCCCGATCGGTTTAAAATTGACAAAGTTTCATACAAAGTTTCATTCCTTATTTTATCCCCTTGGGGGTAGAATTGATCAAAATCCTTACTTAGCGGATCCCGATCCGTCCAGTGGTTTGGGCTGTGAGTTGATAGATCACTGTGTCAGTCAGTCACCTTTGAGTTTTATGTATATATATATATATATAGATAAGATGTACCATCAACAAAGTTAGTTTTTTTTATAGATTGGTAGGCAAACGACTCTACCCCTCCTGATGATAAGTGGTAATGAAGTCCAAACGCAGAGATAGCCGGTACAGCAGTTATAAACTGCCACACCAACCATCCTCACCTTGCGGGTCTGCAAAAATGCTTCTTCACGCCTCTCTTAAAGGACCCCAGGTTGTAGGAAGGAGGGAACACGTGCGCGGACAAAGAATTCCACTTACGAATAGTACGACAAAGAAATGAGCCACCAAATTTCTTTGTTCGTGTAGGAATAGTGGCCACAGTAAGTCGGTGGTAACGAAGGCCAGCGCGCGTGGTCCTCTGAAGAAAAGGTGATGGAGAGATCAGGGAGAGTAACTCCTCAGAAAATAACAATAAAATATGATCAGTTTTAAAACTGTTTCGCTTGTAAAATATCAAGTGTTATGATTTTATTTATTTTTTAAGCATTTAACTGCTAGATGTTTAAATCTAAAGAAAAGTTTACTAGAAAAAAATCCACGCGGACCAGGCAGCGGACGGGACTCGAACCCGCATCCTTCGCTATCCGGGCGAATGCACTGACCATTATTAGGGCCGTGGTAGCATAATGGTCAGTGCATTCGCCCGGATAGCGAAGGATGCGGGTTCGAGTCCCGTCCGCTGCCTGGTCCGCGTGGATTTTTTTCTAGTAAACTTTTCTATATCAAGTGTTGTTTATCCATATTCATATTTGGCTATCAAAAGTATTTTTTTTATTAGCTCCCGATTGGGTTGGACCTTATCCTGACATGATTCTTATAAATGTATAACAAATTTTGATAATCAATCTCTCCTGGTCATTCTGTATACAGCGTGACAAGGATACACTGCTGTCAAATGAATTTTAAACGAAATTTCGCCAGTGACTACTCTACTCTATATCATGTTCGAACACGCACATAAAGTTCGGAATCACAGACAATAGGCTAGTTGACTCATGTCGAATTGTATTAAATAAATGTTTATTTCTTAAAGTATTTGGTCTAAGGAACCTAAATATATCGATTTCACTTCATAAAAGCAGAAGATTGCTGCAGAAATTTAATTTAAAAAAATATTTTTTAGTCTATATTTTCTAAACACTAAAAACGCTATCCGCCACATCCGCCATGATTGTGACGTGTCTTATGGTAAACAACTAAATGTCATTCGCGTGTTACTGTGGGTGGATTCTTTCGTCTGACTAAATTTATCTTAAAACACTTTTAACTTTAGAATAGTCTCCGTTTACTGTTTTTTTTTGAAAAAACTAATTATGGATGCCGGCTTTGTGAAAACAGAAAGCACAAATCTGCCAAGAATTGACGCATGAATGCGTTGGTGAATTTATTGCACTAAACCCCGATTTCTACTCTGCGGAGCAGAAAAACGACAAGGCATCTATGTAAGTACAGTATATTTAGTATTACAATGTAGTAATGTAATACACATAAAACTGATACAACAAATGATTAAGTGTAATAAAGTTGCGTAGGTTAATTTCTTTCGGCACTTTTAATCCACAACTTTCCTGGAGTCTTCAAGGATGTGTTTTTATATTCTCGTACAATACAATAATGATAATTACTTTATTTTTCGGGGTATTTATTAGAAATCATCTTTTGATTATTATAAAATCAGTTAAGTTATTTTCTACGTGCTTACGAGTTTTTGTTTATTTACCTTTCTCTATGTGTTTACTGCAGTTAACGTCATAGCATAGATAATCTATAGACTAAAATGGCCGACAGCGTTTTTGTATGTCCATGAAAAATCTATTTTAAAATTAAAGATTTGTAGCTTTTTATGTCTCAAAAAAATACAATACATTTTTTTTCGGTCTAATAGAACATTTATTAACCATTTAAAACCTTTTTCCAAAAAGGGTCAACTAGCCTATTATCGTGAACGAATGGAATGAGTTATGTTTGTGAGTTCTTTTTTTCTACACTTTTTAGATAACGTTTTTTACTTCAAAACAATACATATTATTTTATGACAAAATTTTTGATTACATCTAAACAACCTCTTTTGACAGTGTTAGCCGACTAATTTGTAGAGTTTATGCAATCGAATGTATGTCAACCTAAATATGTCATGTAACACTTTGAAGTATTTGGCAATACAATAATAAACAAAAATTTTATTTTTTTGTAATTTTTTCATACTAAAAAATGTTCCTCACGCTAAGCAGCCTTAATTAAAAATACTCTAGTTTAATTTTAGGTTTAATTTAAACAAAAATCCCATAACGAAAATGAAAAGGTAACACTTTTCATTTCGTCAATTTGAGGTTAAAATTTCGAACAATTATCTGTCAGATTCAACTTTTAGTTCGAAAGTTTTGTGAATTAGAGTAGGCTTGGAGAATTTAAATGTCGAACTATTTTCGGACGAACTAATTTTCGAAATGAAATAGAAACAGTGTAAGGAACGTGCGAAATTTTGATCGAAATTTCGTTTTTCATGAAATAGAATAGGCCTCCTGTTAGTCTTAATTCTGGCATGATTCTCTTAACCTAAAACCTATGCCAATAGTCAATCTTTATAATGTATTATAGGAAGTTTTTATAGGTCGCCAAATCTAATAGCCGGACAGACCAGCCAGTTTGACCGGGCATTTGGGTAAAAAGGCCGGACCCCCTACATTTTTTGGCTCAGTAATATTAGGTTCGTACTAAAAAAATTGTATGAATAGAATAGAATAGAATAATCTTTAGAATAGAATAATCTTTATTTGCATTAAATAGGGCTGACAAAAGGTGTTTGCATATATGTTAAAAGCTAAGAATCTTAAACCTATTTAGCCATATTTATAGCATGCAAAAAAATCTAAAATATTAAAACATAACAGTCATATTAAATTTACCTAACATTCATTTAATAACAAGTATTTTATCATTATAATTTAAATTCAAATTTATGTCAATATTAATTACAATTCTCAATGTCAGTTCAAAATAAAAATATTTTATGTCAATTTAGTGTGATATACCTATAATAACAAAATTTTTTCAGTATGATAATTTAAGATTATTATTCAATTCAATGTCAATATTAATTACGATTTCTGATGTCAATTCAAAAGTATTATTCATGTCAATATATTATATGCATTGAAAATAAAATTAATCCAAAATCGACATTCATTTCAATATTCAGAACTTATTTTTTAAAAATTCCTCTACAGAATAAAAGCTTTTATCCAATAGCCAATTTTTTAATACTATTCTGAATCTGTTGTAGGGTAGTTGCTTAATATTGTCAGGTACTTTATTATATATTTTTATAGCCATTGCATAACCATTTTTATTGAACCGCGAAGTTTTGGGATTGTTACTCAATACAAGTTTGTTTGTTTGTATTATCTTTTAGTTGCTCCTTTTTTTAACAAATTTTCCCATTTCTAGTACGTATAAGCAGGGCAGTGTTAATATGTTTAATAAATAAAACTAGTTTTTACGGGTTAATGCAAGCAACTATAATAAAAAATATGAAACTTAAAAATCGAACAATGAAATAACCAAACGCTCAATAAAAGTCTTTCGAAGGTATCTCGACAAATTAAATAAAAGTTTTATTCTGACGACGAAGCCTGTAAAGGCTACGAAACGTCAATAAATAAATAAAGTTTCGTGCATTAACCCGTAAAAACTAGTTTTATTTAATGAGTGATGTGCGTGAAAACCTAAGAAACAAATATGTTTAATGCTTTGAAGAACGGCCTGCAAGAAACATCCTATCCGGTGCAATGTTACAAATGGCTCGAATATGTTAAAGCGACCAAGAGTCTACTCGCTTGCGCTCGGCCACGCTCGGCGCTCGCTCGTTTGCGAAATGTAAAAAGCCTAACAAAAGCTGGACACCGTTTATTTTGACTGGATACGCAATCGAAAAGCCTAACCAGGGCCGGATTTAGGATTGTGGAGGCCCCGGGCCACTTAGGATTTGTATGCTTGTTAACCCATCGAAATTTTGTTATCTTTTATCCTGTTGTGGAGGCCCCTGGACCACAGCCCCACCAGCTTAAATTCGGCTTTGGCTGTAGGTAAAGGTAAAAGAGCAAAAAAATATATCAAATGAAAAGATGTTTACTAGTGTTTACTAGTTGGAATTTGAAAGATTTTTTTTCCGAAGTCTATTGTGGGGGCCCCCCGTTTGTGGAGGCCCTGGGGCTTTCGCCCCGGTTGCCCTCCCCTAAATCCGGCAGTGAGCCTAACTATGTCCGGCTTTATCCGGACGCCTGGCAACGCTAATTTATAGTAAAGAAATTCATGCCGGAATTAAACTCGGTGTTTATCCAATCTTATAACTTTTACGAGTAGATAACGGAATACTTTCTTGTTCTATAATTTGCAATGGATAGTCACTAAGAGGTGAAACAATCTCTCGGGTTAGATATTTATCATATATAGGAGAATCCTCCAACAGCCAGAATAAATAATCAAATTCCAGTTAGAGCCTGTTAGAGTTTGGTTGCCTAAATATTTTTGTTATTAAGATTAATATATGTAAGGTAGTTATAATATTTCCACAATGTCAAACGAAAACCTTTACATGTTTTAAACATTTTAAAGAAGAAATAGCAATTTTAGTTATATTTTTTATTTTATAGCATTTAACTGCTAGATGTTTAAATCGAAAGAAAATTTTACCAGATAAAAAAAACACGCGGTAATTGTGGGTTACCTACAATGCGAAGAGATGGCGCTGCCTTGCAGCCAAAGAAATATTAGAGAAAATACGACACGACCATCAGGGCCGCGGTAGCATAATGGTCAGTACATTCGCCCGGATAGCGGGGGGTGCGGGATCGAGTGCCGTCTGCTACCTGGTCCGCGTGGAATATTTCTAGTAAAATTTTCGATTTAAACATCTAGCAGTGAAATGCTTAAAAAATAAAAAAATATTAATAAAATCTGTTGCTAAAGAACGGGCCGGTTCATCGTTTACTGGAGATTGATTATTTGAAACTGTCCGTAAATCAGATTTCGAAATAAGATAATTTGGAACAATCAAAACACAACAGTACACAACACAACACATTTATTTCTACTTATTTAGTTACTTGCGACACGGCTCTATAGGACGGGATCATGTTGCTGTCATTATACTGTAGGCCTTGATTTTTGTATTTCTACGAGCAAGTTAATTTTTTTAAAGTACCTACTGGTAGTTGCCTATTTTCCAAAATCAGACCTTTTTATTTATTGTGTCAAAGGTACCTATTTATTCATTGTCTTCTGTCAGTGTCATTACGTGTTTATGTAACTTATCTAAGTAGTAATGTTTATTTCATTACTTAAATGTATTTCTAATGCGTTATTATAAAAATAAATAATATCTTTCCGCACCATTCATATATATTAATGCAAAATATCACAGGCATGAATAGCCAAAAAGCAAGAGAAAAAGCCCAAAAACTTTGTTTTGTAAATCAGATTTCAAAATAGGTTTATTTGGAACAAGCAAAACACAAAACTACACAACACAACACATTTATTTACTTTGCTGTCGTTGTACTGTTGGCGTTTTTTTAAATATTCGTACGCGCTAGTTTGTTTTTTTTTATAGTACCTGATTTTTTAAATTTTTTTACAAATCATTAAAGCGACCTTGCACGGGCCTGTGCCAGAATACCAGCGCCGACATGGTGAGAAAAGTTTTTTAGAATAGAATAAAAAGCTTTATTGTCATGCTGAGTACAATGGTGTTACAAGTAATGTCTTAGTTCTAGACAGCTGCCCGTTTCGGACGTACAATATTCACTATCGGTGGAAAATGCTATTAAAAATTTCGAAAATACTCTTTTAAATTATAAAAACATTTATCTATTAACCATTTCTTTAATTTAATTTTGGCAAATTGTCATACGGCAAATTGTTAAATATTTTAATTCCACTTATATATAAGAGCTTTTTTCAAATGTATAGCTAGTCGATATAGCAGTATTCATGTCATTTTTATACTGGGCTTCGTATATTAGCTTTAGTCAGTTTTTTTTTACAAAAATATTCGTCATATTTTTATATTAATATTTTTCTTTTCTTACTATGTCAGCCTATGCTGAGTCAGGGTCCTGGTTGGCCTTTTTAGATTAACTTTTATTTTTGCTATTGTTATGATGGCCAATAAATAATTTTTAATTTCATACTAGTCGCTTATTTGTCTAAAGTCAACCCTTATTTTTCTATCAAAATTATACTTCTTTCATCAGTGTATTATTCTGTCTAAAAATCATTATATTTGTCTATCGTATGTTCGTACGTAGTAATGTTTATTTTATTATTCAAATGTATTTCTGATGCATTATTAAAAAAAATATTAGCTTAACCCGCTCTTTATCCATATAAACGTTTTTAATGCAAAATATCACACTGAGAAGAGTAAAATTTGTTTAAATAAAAAAGGGTATGCGAGTTTTTTATTCACGTGTTAAAATTTGGGTTTTTTGGAAATGGGTTTTTGGAACAAAACACAAAAGTACACAACACAACACATTTATTTGTACTTATTCATTTACCTGCGATACGGCTCTGTCGTACGGGATCACGTTGCTGTCATTGTACTGAAGTTGTCGTTGACTGTGAGCTCTTAAGTTCATTTCTTCTGCTAATTCCAAGTCGTTGGTGGAATCAGGGAATCTTAAGGCGGCCGATCTACTCGTGCGAACTTCGGATTGGTAGGATAGAGGGCCAAAGAGGCGGACGAATGGTTCTCCTGTTTGGTGAAAGATTCTTTGTTAAAATAATCCATTTAGTATAAAAATATTTGTTAAAGGGCAATGAGAAATTAGGGAAAATGTTTGTGTAATGAATACTTTTTAGTATCGGAGTCATAGATACTTATATGTTTTATCTGTTACCCTAGTATCCTATAATACAAGACCTACAGTTACAATTTGTTACACTTTTAAAAATAGTATTGTACTTTTTCACTTTACCATACTTTTTGCTGATGTACAAAAATAGTCTAGCAAAAACATGCCTCGAAAATTTCTGAGTTTTCTACTCTGATTGCCAGCAAATTGAGAGTAAAATTGTACAGACATTTTCATTTTTATACACATATGAGTCCAAAAATAGCGTTCTGCAGGGTAGTATTTTCGGACCCCTACTTTTGTTAAGGTAACGTTACTCTCCTTTAGTGTTTTTTTTCAAATTTCACGAGTTTTATTCTTAGTTGTAGCAGGCGATTTAAAAAAATCTGTGAATGCAATTCTACTTATTATTTAAAATAAAATGATGTCTTCTTTCAGTAAAATATTTATATTATCTTTAATATTTAATATACTTTCGCTCCGTGTGACAAATCCGTGTGATGCCCTGTATAACATAGTTATATCACTCACCTCTGTCGTCTCTTCCTTCTATTTTGGCGTACACCCGCGGGCCGCGTACGTCGTTGGGTAGTTGTACGTCAGCTGTTAGGGCGTTGCCACTGCTTTGTGACATGGGCGGGTAGCTGGAATAATACGGAATTATTAGATTCAAAAACCTCGAAATGTATGTAACCATAATGAAAGACTATTGCTGCCTGCTTGTTCAATGAAAAGAGACAAAGCATAGAGTAACTAATCCAAGTTTATTCTTCGTTTAATCAAAATTATTTATTCAGTTTATCTTATTAGAAGCACTCATGAATGTTTAGAAGCTACGCCATCGGTTCGTAAATCTACGGCGGGAGACCTTGTATGGAGAAGAACCGGCAAGAAACTCAGCAAGGGCTGTTTTTTTTTCCTCCCTGTTTATTATTTACAGAATCGTTTATTAATAAAGGGGTAAAGAACTTACGTACAGTCATATTTGTGTTGTAGCCAACGATATTAAATACCCTATACACCACGTTGTATCAAGGTTATTTAATAACGTTGTTGTAAGCAGTTGAATAAACATGTCATGATATATCCATCAATATAATTCCACTTACTTGAAAGCTAGTTTGGCGAGTTCCGTGCCGTATTCATCTATCAGTATAGACTCCCTCACGCTGGAAACGGGGCCGGATATCCGGAACTTGAGTTTGTCTGAAAACATTGGGATTGGTGATAAACATTTTTATTTAACACGGGGCCGGATATCCGGAACTTTAGATTGTCTGGAAACATTGGGGTTGGTGATTAAACGTTTTTATTTAATACAGGGCCGGATATCCGGAACTTTAGCTTGTCTGGAAACATTGGAGTTAGTGATTTAAGGTTATATGTTAATTTCTTTTTAAGCATTTAACTGCTAGATGTTTGAATCTAAAGAACGGGGCAACAGACGGAAACCCCGTCTGCTGCCTCGTTCTTTGTTGTTCTTGTTCTTTGCAACTAAGGCAATAGCGGCAGCCTCTAGTATCTTAACTTGGCTGAGCCACTAGTGATCGCTTTTAGTAGTTTAATGTAAGATTGCTCTAAGACTTCCTTGTTGACAAAGAAACTATAAAACGCATAAGTTATGTATGCGTTACTATTGACGACCTCCGTGGCTGAGTGGTTTGTACGCCGGGTTCCGTGGTGTCGCCGACTCGAGAGGTACCGGGTTCGAATCAGATGTTTGTGTGATGAATACAATACAAATACAAAATACAAAATTAGTTTATTTCAATAACTTAGCCTACTACAATATATGAGTATGGTACATCCTTTTAAGCAGTAAAATTGCTTGTGTTAGGATGCACCGCTCTTCCATAGCTTGGTTACAATAGGCCAATTAACAATCCGCCATTTAAATTTATAATAATAATGGATTACATTAATATTTTTTTTTTTCAAAATAATAACATAAACTAACAAAGATTACATTCTCCGGTTTTTTTTTTGAGGGTATAAACATTTTTTTTTTGTTATATATTTAACAGTTTAAAAATTTCGTTTGGGTAATATTAGGCTGCAAACGTGTGTTGTGAATGTGCGTGTGTGTGTGTGTGTGTGTATTAGTGTGCGTGTATACATGTATAGTGTGTCGTAGTACCTATGTGTGTAGAGAGGACTTAACGAGTTACTACTGTATTTTATACCCCACGACATATCGTATCGAGAGTTTACATTTTACATACCTATAACCCCACTAAATAAATAATTCAACTTCTGTATAACTTTTAGTTTTTAGCCATTCTGTTAACGTAGTTTTGCACCTTTTGTAAGTTAGAAGCATTTGTACTCCAGTCATGGATGGTTAATATGTATTTCTATATAAGTATACGATAATATTAGTCACTCGATTTAACGACAAACTCCCTAAAGCATCGCAATCACTCGTCTTTGATTGGTTTAGTTTGTTTCCATACAATGATACACTCCATATAGCATTACACCCACTCTCAATAACGACAATAATTAAGTAATAGAAAGTACCTTTTTAGTTGCTAAAATTAGTGAAAATCGCGCGGCTGTGTACGTTCTTTTGTCGCTTTATTATCCTAGCCCGTAATTACTCGACTGCCGGCATCATGCAAACAAGAAATTCTTTCTTTTGTTTACAAATTGGGATTGCACGTGTAGACTGTTGTTGACCATGACAAAAAAAATATAATACAACAAAATTACTGGTGCAGCAAAAGACGTTCAAATAATATTATTTTTTTATGTACGTAACTACTAGCTTGAAATAAAGTTTTTCTTTTCATAATTCTGATTTTTCTTCATTCCATTCAACGACAACTCTCTATAACGCCATAAAATGTACAGTCCCTTTAGTGTCGTTATTTAGAGATTACACTGTATATGTATTGTATCCGTTACCCTAGCGTCCCATAACACAAGCGTACAGTGCTTACTTTGGGGCTAGGCTAATTGGTGTGTGTTGAATATATTTATTTATTTACTATAATAATTATACATTTAAGTAACGCCGTACATTGTTATCGATATGTAGTCGTACAGATGCAGTGATCTCATTATGTAAACATCTGTTGTACTAGTTTACTCTAAGGCAGATAGAATAATAGGAAAATGGCTCTGTTTATATCTGGGGTTCATCAGTTCTGATAACCCCGGAGATCTTTGCACACCCATCATCATACTTCCTCGTATGTGTTGTGACGAAACGATCTGTGTGATTCAAATGTGTGTTGCCATGTGCAATGTGGTATTTTTTACTTTATAAGACGGAGACTTCTTAATAAAATTCGGAATTAATACGAATGCAATTTCTGGCATCTTTTGTTCTCTGACACTCTGTAAGAATTTATTGTTTGCTGTTGGATTTATCAATATGAAGAAAAGAAAGAGGATCATGTATGACCGACTAGAGTTTTTATAGTAAAAGGAGCTCTCCCAGCGAACTTCGTACCGCCATAAAAACATGGGGGTTGGTGGGAGAAGGGTGAAAATTTGGGGTTGTATGTATTTTTGTATGATGTATAATAAAAAAATTAAAAAGAAATCTAAAATTGAAAAAAAATATTGGGGTGAATTACCCTTAATATTTAGGGGGATGAAAAATAGATGTTGTCCGATTCTCAGACCTACCCAATATGCACACAAAATTTCATGAGAATCGGGAACGCCGTTTCGGAGGAGTTTAACCACAAACACAGCGACACGAGAATTTTATATATATTAGATTTTGAATGAATGATCACTTTATTATACACCATGAAATTTTAAATTACAATTAATAATAAGATTATTATGATTTTCTTCAGACCCTATAACAAAATAATGGTATGAAATTTTCTAGTTTTCCAGTTTTTTAAAGCCAGCCTCCCTTAAATTAATGAATATTAAATTTGTATGGCTTTCATTCTAAATCAATCAAAAGTCATTTATTCAGTCTAGGCTGTTACAAGCTCTTCTGAAAGTCGAGACGCTACGCCGTCGGTTCGCAAATTTACGACGGGAGACCTTGTACTGAGGAGAACCGGCAAGAAACAGCAAGGGCTGTCTTTTTCTTCCTGTTTTATTATATACAGAGACGTTAAGTTGAAAAATAGCTTTAGAGATAATTCTGAGTCTTCTCTTCCATTCCATAATTTAGAATATAGCTATTAATTCAAAATAATAGTTACAAAATAAGCTTTTTGAAGTTATACTTCTTTAGGCGCGTAATGAAAAAATGATGAGAGTGAAATTTTAAGATGCGCGCGCATCACTGTAACACAAAATTTTAAAAAGGTCGCTAAAGCGACCAACTTCATGCTGTTACTTTTGTGTTTACCGCACATTAAGAAATTCTACCAACAAAATAGAATCTCTATTTAGTGGGTGCTAACGACTGCATTGTGAAGGCCTATCAAAAGTATTTATTAATCTGGAACAACGGAACCAAAGCGCGATTCAGGAGGCTACAGCGCCATCTCTTGACCATTGGTGTAGTAGAACCAAAAACCACATCTTTATTTTTTGTAATAAAGTAACAGTTATAGGTATTCATATTTATAATATTTATCCACATGTTTCTAGTTTGTATATTCGGAATACGTGTTTGAGCTTCATACAAGTGCAAATCACATATGTTCTAATAAATTATATTCAGTAGCGATTTTAATTGAATATTTTGATTATTTATTTATTTTTTCAAATTAAAACTGAACTTTATTGACTGTGTCCTTTTCCAGACTTTTTATTAATTTATTGTAATTAATTATTTGCATGCAATTAAAAACTAATTTTAAACGATGCGAAAGAAGGATAACTTCTCACTCGCCTACATAAGTACACGCACCCATTTTTTAATAGTTAAAAGGTTATTTTAGGATTAATTAAACAGAATTATAGCGTCGTTTGCATGCTCTGTCTGCACTCGTTGATTGATTGTCACTAGATTAAGTTTTTGCTGAAGCTATTCCTTTTTGGCAACATGAAGCTACTGGATGCTCTTATTTAAAATAAAGTCGGTTTACTGACGATAGTTGAATGTGACGTTTTTTTACAATGTACATAAAATGACAAAGTTATAGCGCGTCAAAGTTTGGGAGTAGGGGCTCGTGACGTCACTTTTTAGTGAATGTTCGCTTAAAAGTGTACTCAAACATGACGTCATGCGAATTTTCAAATCAATATATATCTCTGCATTGTTTATACTATGTGAAAAAAGAAATAATCCAATACTTTTTGATAATCTACCTGATAAACGAAGAAAAAAAAATTATCATCATCCCTTTTGTTTTACACCTTTTAAACATGTCTGATATCATTACCTTTATCGCTTGCTTTGTTATTATCGTTTCTATAAACAATTGATACCGCATTCACTTTTCACTGCACTTCATACTTGACAAAAACATGTAAATGTATTATTGTATAGCAGCTGTCCACGCGGACGCATCGCTCACTCAAGTAGGAGAGAGACAGATGTCAAACGCTGCCGAACGCGGAGGCCGATTGTGCCTCTTTGTCGCTCATTGCGCGTTCTCGCTTGCACTTTAAGCCTTAAATGGAACGCCTCAGAGCGAGGTAACGCCGCATGAGTCAGGTTTTTTCGTGCGTGCAGCCGGCTCCATCGAATTATAAGACGTTGTCACGTCAAAAATAATTACGCTCATAAGATTATTATTTCACTATTGCCACATTCTTTTAGATGCAGGTACATATTACACTACGGACTTTCGACTTCCGTTCAGAAGTTGAGCCGGATTAGTCATTTGAATCAATTAATTTAATGTAGATATAATGTATAAAAATAATCTATGAACAATGAACATATGGTAGAATCATGATTAAGTAGTTGCCTCACTTACAATTATCGATAACATTGGTTAAAATGACGAAAATAAACTATATCGATAACAGATATGACCTGCAGTTTATTTACGATAATAAATAAAACACAGAGCATTAGTTTAGCATTGACGACGCGTCTAGTCGTGCGCGCGTAGAATTCGCGCCCTTTTTTTGTGTTTTACTTTTAATTTTCGCAACAAAAAGTAGCTTCGTAGCTTTAGGAACTTTGTGCGGCCAAACTTTATTCTTTGCTCGCTAAATAGGTACACTACTTTTTTGTTATATTTGTTGTAAAGAAAAAAGGTAGGCATTTTTAAGTTCGCTATTCGGTAATCGTGATTGCGCTTCAGAAATCATTGTAACAACATGAATTTGCA